CGCCACTTTGACCGCTGTGAGAGGAAGGACCGCTCGCGCAAAAGCGGCCAGATGCCTGCGATGACAATGACGCAGCTTAAAATGCACCATGCGAAGGCTTCGAGCAGGTTGTCGCACGAAAGCGATCCGGAGGCAGCATACTGACTGCCAAAGGCAACCATGAAGCTTTCCGGGGCGAGGTTGACGGCAAACACGGCGAGCCCGAGGACCGCCGCATACAAACGGTTGAATAGCCACACCAAGAAGCGATGCGAACCCGCGTTCCCGACTGTAGCCGATTCCTCCGCTAGAAGAGCCGCGATTGCCCCGCCCACCTCCTCGCGCTGCTCAACAGGTAAGAGAAACTGCGCGAGGAGGTTATCGATGAAGGTGGTAAATGTGATTGCGAGCCCATCGAGCAGGAACATGGTGCAGGTGACGTCGTTGATGAGGATCGCGCAAGTTGCACAGATTAAGCAGAGCGGCAGCACCAACATCCGCATCCGGATGTGCACCCAGCCCAGGCAGCGCATCCACAGGGGAAGCTCTACTCTACGAGCACGCGTGCGGTGGCGGAGCAGCCGCTTCTCCAGTGCAGCCTCGTCCCAGTCCTCGGCGAGCGGAATAAGGATCAACATCACCACGAAGACGAGTACGAAGTAGTGCGTCGCGGCGAGGCGGCTCTGCCGTACGACGAGATGGTCACACCGCAGCGGCATGATGTCGGTGGCGTCGCAGTGGGCCGCAGCCTCTCGCGCCCACTGCTCGCCGCTCAAGTCCTCGGCGGCACTGTGACCGAACCAGCCGGCGCCAATGGCGAAGCTGTGCAGGCAGCGGAGCGGGCGAGAGGTCGGTGAGCTGGGAGAGGGGGGGGACTATCTAGCATGCAGCGTGTAGAGCCGCACCTCGAGTTGCTCCAGATGTCGACATATGGTCCAAGCACGTGACGCCGGCTGTCCAGCGCCATGATGACTCCTGATATGTTCTCCGCCGTCAGCTGCATATTGTAGCAGTCGAGGCATACGCCGGGCGCCTTCTCGTGCCGCCACGGCTGCCGCGTGATTGGCTCCCCAAAAATATAGAAATCCTTTGGGTGGCAATACTCTCCGACCGCGCAGTGATTGTGACTCGAGCAGCGTGGGTGCGCAGCCTCATAGACGACCGCGTACATGACCACCGACTGGCCACACATTAGGAGGATGGACAGAAGAAGCGGGATGGCCGCCGAGAGGGAGGCGCCTGGAGCGGTAGCCTTGACGAACGCCCACGCATGAATGCCGCCCAAGCCAACAGAGTCGTAGCGGGCGAGAGGCCGCTGGTGGATGTGTGCGTCGACCACGTTGGGTGCTGCCGAAGGCTGGCGCATGATCTCCTCTTCATCGGTGCTGGTGCTCGCGTCGACCTGGGCCTGGTACGGTGCCGTTTGCCCGCGCGACGTCAGTGAAAACCATGCCCACCGTGAAGGCAAAGCCGTAACCGTGAGCATCGATCAGCGGCGGCGAACTCAGCGGCGGCGGTCAGGTACGCAGCAGAGCCGACGAGACGAACGACGATCAAAAAGAGCCTCGACGAGACGAACGACGATCAAAAAGAGCCTGCCGACGTGCAAAAAAGAGAAAGCCGGAAGAACACAACGCACTCTCGCACATGAAGCGAGAATCGGAGAGAGACTGCGAAGAGAGATAGGAAGAGGCAGACTCCCTAGGGTAGGCGACGGCTAGCGCATCACACTCCTCTCCTTAAAATCCCTGTGTGGTGGCGGCGTGCCGTTCTCCCATCCCTCCCTTCAGGTACACCATGGTGCACAATATATCGCAATATACTCCAATAGACTCCAATATACTCTTGTTTCGCCCCGGGATTAGTTCCGGCATACATTGGCGTACATTGGAATATACTGGAGACGAACCAACAGGGGTCAGGGCGAATATATCGCAATATAAGCCAATATATCCCAAAGTTCACCATTATATCCGGACCGTACATTGAGAGAGAGAGAGAGAGAGAGAGAGAGAGAGAACAAAACCCCTTCTCCCTTTTCTCCCAGTAAGCAACAAGTACGTACATTGCGATATATTGGTAGGTAGGTAGGTAGAAAGGTGAAGAACAGCCAGCGAGGCTCGGACTGGACACCAACGCGGTATATGGGTGGACGTTGGACAGATGATGACGACACGCACGAGCGACACACAGACACAAACAGGCTCACAAGACACACAGCCAGCGGGCTGCCACACACACCCTAGTTGGCGTACACATAACTCAGGGCCACACATTCTTCCTGTCGGTCGCCCCCCCCAGCACTCCAACTCCACCTCTATAGCAATCTCGCGAGGTTGATGATTGATGGGAAGGCGAAACACAGTCCGACCAACGACTGGGACGAGACCGTGTGTAATATTGGCTTATATTCCACATCTCAGCTGTGAACCTGTGTGTCAGTATTCTCTGTGGCTCGCCTTGCGTGAGGCTCTCCTGTGCTTGGTGCAGTGAGCGGTAACCGGAGATGGACCTCGAGAGCTCGCCATTAGACGTCGAACGGTGGCAGCGCGTGGTGGAGCTCGCTTCCACCACGCCTCAGAGCGCTGAGGAGGGCTCACCACGCGCCGTGCAAAGGCGGTGGCTCGCCGAGTCCTTTGACAATGCACAGCAACGCCGGACTAGTGGAGAGGACTACGACGAGCCGGCGTTGGCACGGCAGGTTGACATCGCTGTCGGACGCACTGCTCGCTCGTTCCCACGAGCTGCATTTTGTGGCGCTTGCCTCGCACTAACTGCGCTCTGGGTGGCCATGCCAAACGACGGTCCCGATCCTTCCCTGCCACCGGCCGTCCCACTGGCGGGAGCAGACCTGGGCAAGGTGAACAAGACCGGGCAGCTGATCAAGGGCCAAACTGCCCGGACGAACAGGCTCGTCGAGATTACGTTCGACTTGGTCCCAGCAAGGCCGGGTCGCCGCGTGCTGCTCCAGGTCCCAGCAAGGCCAGTCCACTCCAACGTCACGTCGGAGGAGTTGACCACCGTCCTTCGGGCCGCCCTGCCGCCCGAGGTCGACCCGGCGGCGGTGCGGCTGCTTCGGAGAGGGAGCGGCTTTACGGTTTCCATCTCCTCGCGACAGGTCGAGATGGCCGACGTGCTGGCGGTTCTTCAATCCCAGTCCTTTGCGGACGAAATCCACTCACGATACATGCGGGTCGATAACATCCAGGTTGGCAGCGTCGCCTCCCTCCGCCTCGAGCCGCCCTCGGCACCCACGCCACCCCCTCCTCCCGAGTGGCTCGACGACCTCTGGAAATGGCTCGATGCGTTCCCGCCGCCGCCGCCGCCGCCGGCCCCTCTGCCGCCCTCGCCGCCGCCGCCGTCGCTGTCGCCCTCGCCGCCTCCCACGCCGCCGCCTCCGGCGCCGCCGCCACCAGCCCCTCCGCCTCCCTCGCCGCCGCCGCCGTCGCTGTCGCCCTCACCGCCTCCCACGCTGCCGCCTCCGGCACCGCCGCCGCCTGCCCCTCCGCCGCCCTCGCCGCCGCCGCCGTCGCTGTCGCCCTCGCCGCCTCCCACGCCGCCGCCTCCGGCACCGCCGCCGCCTGCCCCTCCGCCGCCCTCGCCGCCGCCGCCGTCGCTGTCGCCCTCGCCGCCTCCCACGCCGCCGCCTCCGGCACCGCCGCCGCCTGCCCCTCCGCCGCCCTCGCCGCCGCCGCCGTCGCTGTCGCCCTCGCCGCCTCCCACGCCGCCGCCTCCGGCACCGCCGCCGCCTGCCCCTCCGCCGCCCTCGCCGCCGCCGCCGTCGCTGTCGCCCTCACAGCCTCCGCCGCCTGCCCCTCCGCCGCCGCCGCCGCACCTGCCGCCGCCGTCGCCGCCGCCGCCGTCGTTAGCACACTCCCTCGTCCACGAGGAACTGGTGCTGCCAGTGTCGCTGTTGAGCGTCGCTCTCTTGGCCGCTGCAGCCTACGTGCGGCGGCGCAAACGCCGCGCCACGCAAGGTGCGGAGCGGATGGTGCGCATTGAGTCTGCCAACGGCAACGTTACGTACTACGCGGGTGAGAAAGGCGCGGAGCGGAGGGTGCGCTCGATGTTTGCCGACGGCGTTGTGCAGTACTACGAGGGCGAGCAAGGTGCGGAGCGGATGGTGCGCATGGTGCTTCCCAGCGACAGCGTACAGTACTACGAGGGCGAGCGAGGTGCGGAGCGGATGGTGTAGGTGGGCGCGAGCGAGGACAAGGCGGCCGCCGAGAAGCGGTACAAGGCCATGCGGGTCGCATTGGAGCGAGTGCCAGCGCTTCGGCTTGGCCACCACCGGCGTTAAAGCAGCGCGCGTGGCGCGCCTCCTGAGCCTGTACTCCTGTTGAACTCTCGCGCGCATATACGTTCGTGAATGCAATCGCTCGAGCGCGAGGCAGCGACTGTACCGTGACCCATGTACGTCACCGTAAGTGTTAGACACACGAAACTCGAAGCCGAAGCGGAGTTTTCTGTCCCTGCCTTTTCGCAACCCGGGCGGGGGCGCCCCGGCTCCACGGTCGACGGTGCCCCATAGCGGGTGGGGAGGCCCTAAAACGGCGGGAGGGGTAGGGCTATAGCCTGTAGCTGTCCCGTGACCCGACACCCGTGGGGTCCGCGGTGCTCGACGGCGGTGCCAGCCTCGAGAAAGTGGCGGCGAGCCGCGCCTGCGCGCGTGCGGTGGTCCGTGGGGGTTCGGTGCGTCTGCGCCGGGCTCTCGTGGGCGGCTGGGAAGCAGCAGGCGTGTGTATTTGGTCCCGCTCTCGGGGCGGCTGGCGGGCGACTTTGAGCGAGCCGATGGCGATGCTCCGCGACGCGATTTCGCGACGCGATGCGCTCAGAGCATATGCTGCGGGACCTCTGTGGCTGGACGCGTACCGGAGTGGCGAAGGACAGCGACGCGGGGCGGCGAAATGGGCCCTCCTCTGCCACTGTGGGCCGGGGGTCTGGTGTTTCGCTCGCCCCGCGAGGTCTCTTGGGTCAAAGGGCCGGGGGGGCCGGGATGCCCCAATATCACATCCCCGAGTATGTCGCGCCGCCTCTCGCGTAGTCGATTGCCGGTGCACCCAGCCGTCCCGTTGGTGGCCTTTGGCGCGGGCGTGCTGCTCGCCTCCGACCCTGAGCAACCTGCGCGGTTCACGGCCTACGCTGCGTCGGCAAGGCGAGCCGTCAGGCTCGCTGGCGCCTGCTCGCTGGTCGCTTTCGACTACTCGCGTGCGAAGCGCTCGCTCATAGCCGCGGAGAAGGCCGAGTTTTTGGACGGCGACGCGGCTCACTGGGAGCTGCAGGTAGCTTCAGGCAAGGCCGAGCGGCTGAGGGCGGACGCTGTGAGGCGCGGCGAGCCGAGCGCAGTGCTCGAGGAGGAGGCGCGGCGCACGCGCGAGGAGGCGGCAGCGTACGGAGAGGCGCTCGCCGGGCGCAGGCTCGAGGCCGGCCAGCGGAGTGGCCGCGCCGCAGCGTGGGATGAGGTCCACGAGCGCAACGCGGCCCGCCTGCTCGCGCTGTGCATCGCCAACGGCGGCGTGTACGTCAAGCTCGGGCAGCACGCGGCGCAGCTCGACTACCTGCTGCCGCCGCAGTACACGCGCACGCTGCACCAGCTCTTCGAGCACAACCGCGCCTCGTCGTACGAGGACGTGTCGCGCGTGATTGAGGAGGAGCTGGGCGCGCCGCCCGAGGCGCTGTTCGGGAGCTTCGAGCGCGCGCCGATCGCGTCGGCGAGCCTCGCTCAGGTGCACCGCGCGACGGAGCACGGCACGGGCGCGCCGCTCGCCGTCAAGGTGCAGCACGCCGGGCTGCGCGAGGAGTGCGCCTCCGACCTGCAGGCGGTGGGCCTCGCCGTCGCCGCCGCCGAGTGGCTCTACCCGGACGACTTCCGGCTCGGCTGGGTGATGGGCGAGATGGCTCCGCACCTGCCGCTAGAGCTCGACTTCACGCACGAGGCCGCCAACCTGCGCCGCTGCGCCGCCTTCTTTGGCGCGTGCGGCGACGCGGGCGGCGGCGGCGCGTCGGGTAGCGGTGGCGGTGTCGTGAGCAGCAGTGGCGCGCGCGGTGGCGGTGGCGGCGGGGGTGGCGGTGGCGGCGGGGGTGGCGGTGGCGGCGCGGGAGGCGGCGGGGGAGGCGGCGCGCTGGCGGGCGCCGTCGAGACGCCGGCGGTCGTTGGTGCGCTCACGTCGGCGCGCGTGCTGACGATGACGTACGAGGAGGGCGTCAGCGTCACGGACGTGGCGGGGCTGCGGCGGCTCGGCCTCGATCCCAACGAGGTGTCGCGGCTGCTGTGCGAGGCGTTCAACGCCATGATCTTCGACGGCGGCTTCGTGCACTGCGACCCGCACCCGGGCAACGTCCTCGTGCGCCGCCGCCGCCGTGGCCATTGCTCTCCACACGGTGCTGGTGGTGCTGCTGCTGGTGGTGGTGGCGGCGGCGGCGGTGGCGGCGGTGGTGATGGCGGCGGCGGCGGTGGTGGTGATGGCGGTGGTGGCGGTGGTGGTGGCGAGGCGCAGCTCGTCCTGCTCGACCACGGCTCGTGCCTCCCCGTACCTTTCCACATCTCCCCGTATCTCCCTATATCTCAGGTGCAGCTGGTCCTGCTCGACCACGGCTTGTACCGGGACCTCCCGCGCGCGTTCGCGCTGACCTACTCGCGGTTGTGGCACGGCGTCGTTCTCGGCGACGCCGACGCGATCCGCGAGGCGGCCGAGGAGATGGGCGTGGGGCAGTACTACCCGCTGCTCGCGGCGATGCTGACGGCGCGGCCGTGGACGGACATCCTGCGCGCGGGCGACACGGGCGACGCGCGCGCGCTGCAGGAGAAGGGCACCGCCGCCGACAAGAAGCAGATCGCCGGCTACGCCGCGCAGTACGCCAAGCACATCGGGATCGTGCTAGACCTGGTGCCGCGGCCGCTGCTGCTGCTCTTCAAGACCAACGACTGCCTGCGCCACGCCGAGCGGCAGCTCGGCGCCGCCGGCGTCGGCTCCTTCTCCATCACGCTGCGCTACTGCCTCTGCTGCTTGCGGCACGAGGCACGCGCCGCCGCCGCCGCCGCCTCGGCCGCCTCCACGGCCACCACCGCCGCCACCTCCACCGGCAGCGCCGGCAGCACGGCCGGCGTCGCGGCACGGCGGTGGCTCGGCATAGCGCGTGCGTGGCTCGCGGTGCTGCGGCTCGACGTGGCGATGCTGCTGTTGCGCGTGCTCTCGGGGAGTGCGGTGCTGCCGCGCGCCGTCAGGGCGCTCTCGCTGTCGCCCGCCTCCGCCAAGCGGCAAGGTGAGAGGGAGAAAGCAAGCACGAGTGCGGTCAGTGTCGAGCACACCTGAACTCAGAAACAGAGGCGCGCAGAAGGGACAAGGGTGCTTTGGTTTTGAAAAAAAACAAGAAAAAAAGAAGTTTCTCCAAAACCCGGACGTGCCTCCACCTACACTCTCAGGTTGCACCAACCAAACACAAGTCACAAGAAGGGCACTTAGAGAGACAACACAAAACAGAGCGCATCTCTCTCTCTGTTGTGCGAGGCGTGAACCGCGCCATTCCTTGGGCTCAACCCAGTTTTCCGGAAAACAAAAAGGAAAACAGAGGGTCCCCAGCACTTTGCGTTTCCGGAAATTTCCAGGGAAAACAGAGGGTGTTTGGTGCTCCATTCTGGAAACTCGCGAGTTTCCCTGAGTCTGAGAGCTGGTCTGGGGCAAAATCTGAGGCAAAATTGAGGAAATCGACAAAATACCCAGGCGGTCGCAGGGTAATTTCCAGGTATACACGGGTTCTCGCGAAATTCCCGGCATTTTGCCGATTCGGCCTAAAATTTGGCTGATTTGGGGCCCAAACCAAGAATAAATAAATAAAATATCTTTAGTTCCAAAACCCGGACGTGCCTCCACCTACACTCTCAGGTTGCACCAACCAAACACAAGTCACAAGAAGCAGAAGGGCACTTAGAGAGACAACACATAACAGAGCGCTTCTCTCTCTCTGTTGTGCGAGGCGTGAACCGCGCCATTCGCTCTCACCTAGCAACCCTGTCTGCACGTCTCGCGCGCGCGTGAACAGGGCTCCAGGCCCCAAATGACGTGTGAGTGTTAGAGTTGTTTGGTATTGCTAAAAATCTCTCTTAGAGAGAGCCCTCTCTCCCAACCAAACAACCTCCCTCAGAGATTTTCATGCCTCAGACCAAGGAACTCGAGTTGCAAAAATGGACCAAACACCCTCTGGCTCCTTTCTCATGTCTGGAATAGGAAAAAAGAAAAGCGTGCGCTGGAGAACCCTTGCGTGGCATCCCACCTCTCCGATTCGCCTGTGTCTTTTCGACCGATCTCGCACGAGGGACAAATGTTCAAGGTGCAGCACTACGAGGGCGAGCGAGGTGCGGAGCGGATGGTGCGCGTGGAGTCTGCCAACGGCAGCGTGCAGTACTACGAGGGCGAGCAAGGTGCGGAGCGGATGGTGCGCATGGCGACTGCCGATGGCAGCATGCAGCACTACGAGGGCGAGCGAGGTGCAGAGCGGAAGGTGCGGACGGAGATGCCCGACGGCAGCGTGGCGTACAACGCTTTCTTCGGCGCCAAGTGGTTCGGCGCAACGCAGAGGGGGGCGGCCAAGAAGGAGCAGGCCGAGGCGAAGGCGGCGGAGGAGAAGGCGGCGAAAGAGAACGCGGAGCCGCAGAAGGCGGCTGCCGAGAAGGCGATCGCCGATAAGGCGGCGGCTGCCAAGGCCAAGGAGAACGCGGAGAAGGCGTCGCGCGAGGCCGCCGAGGCCAAGGCGGTCGCGAAGAGCGTCGCCAAGAAGCCCGTCTCCCGCTCCACGAAGATGGTCGGCCAGCTCGTGCTGCTGGTTGGCCTCGCCGTCGCCGCGTTCGGCCTCGGCCTGGGCGACCTCCTCAGCGCGCCACCGCCGCCACCCGCGGCCAAGGCTGACTTCGAGCCGCTCACCGCGGCGACCGGCCTGGTCAAGCGCGTGGGCACCGACCGCAAGATTCAGACGATGATCGCCGCCACCGCCGCCACCGCGCTGCTGCGCCCCGCCGTGTCGGCCGTCGCCGCCGTGCCCGCCGTTGGCGGTGCCGTGGGCGGCGCGGCGGGCGCCGTGGGCGGTGCCGTCTCCGGCGCCGTCGCGGCCATCCGCGGCCACAGCCTCGGCGCCAAGACCGTGCAGGTCGCCGCGCCCGCCGCGGGCGGCCTCGGCCCCGCGGTCACCGGCGCCGTGTCCGGGTGGCTCGCGGGCGGCGCGGCACAGCGCGCAGCGGCGGCGGCGGCGGCCAAGGCCGCGACGGGCGCGGCGACGGGCGGCGTGATCGGCGGCGCGGCGGGCTACGCCGCGCACCCCGTGGCCAAGCCTGCGCTGGCGGTGGGCGCCGCGGCGGCCAACCTGGCAGCTCCGCTCTTCGCGGGCGCCGCGACGGCGGTGAAGGCGGCGGCGGCCACCAAGACGGCCGCCGGCGCGGCGGCGGGCGTCGTCGGCACGGGCGCCGCCGTGGGCGCGCAGCAGCTCGCGGCCGGCGCGCTCGGCCTGTTCGCGAGCGCCGCGACGGCGGTGAAGGCGGCGGCGGCCACCAAGACTGCCGCCGGCGCGGCGGCGGGCGTCGTCGGCTCGGGCGCGGCCGTGGGCGCGCAGCAGCTCGCGGCCGGCGCGCTCGGCCGCGGCGCGGCGGCGCAGGCGGCAAAGGTGGCGGCGGGCGCGGCGGTGGCCGGCGCGGCCCTCACCGCCCCGCCCGTGGCCGTCGCTGCGGGCGCCGTTGGCGCCGCGAGCGCGGTGGTGGGTCGCACGGCGGCGACCTTTGGCGCCAAGTGGCTCGCGGGGGGCGCGGCACAGCGCGCAGCGGCGGCGGCGGCGGCCAAGGTGGCGGCGAAGGCCGCGACGGGCGGCGCGATTGGCGGCGCGGTGGGCTACGTCGCGCTCCTTCTGTCCAAGCCTGCGCTGGCGGTGGGCGCCGCGGCGGCCAACCTGGCAGCTCCGCTGTTTGCGGGCGCCGCGACGGCGGTGAAGGCGGCGGCGGCCACCAAGACGGCCGCCGGCGCGGCGGCGGGCGTCGTCGGCACGGGCGCCGCCGTGGGCGCGCAGCAGCTCGCGGCCGGCGCGCTCGGCCTGTTCGCGAGCGCCGCGACGGCGGTGAAGGCGGTGGCGGCCACCAAGACTGCCGCCGGCGCGGCGGCGGGCGTCGTCGGCACGGGCGCGGCCGCGGGCGCGCAGCAGCTCGCGGCCGGCGCGCTCGGCCGCGGCGCGGCGGCGCAGGCGGCAAAGGTGGCGGCGGGCGCGGCGGTGGCCGGCGCGGCCCTCACCGCCCCGCCCGTGGCCGTCGCTGCAGGCGCCGTTGGCGCCGCGAGCGCGGTGGTGGGTCGCACGGCGGCGACCTTTGGCGCCAAGTGGCTCGCGGGGGGCGCGGCAGAGCGCGCAGCGGCGGCGGCGGCGGCCAAGGTGGCGGCGAAGGCCGCGACGGGCGCGGCGACGGGCGGCGCGATCGGCGGCGCGGTGGGCTACGTCGCGCTCCTTCTGTCCAAGCCCGTCGCGTGGGTGGCAGGACTCTTCTAGGCGGCGGCAAACTGAGCGCACCAGATGCTGTGGAGTATGCCAACGGCCTCCGCGAACCTTGCACCGGAGGGTTCTCTAAGGACGAGGGCGGGGGCAGAGAGGAGATGTCGTGCACGGCCTCGCCGGAACACATGAGGTGCTTGCACAGGAGGTCTACGGTGTAGGGGTACAACGGCTGCTTCATTCTGATGTCTCCTCATGCCATGTCTCCCCATGTCTCCCCATGTCTCCCCATGTCTCCCCATGTCTCCCCATGTCTCCCCATGTCTCCCAGTCTTCTGGCAGGAAGAACGGATAATACCTCAGGCGCTACGTTTTTTCGGGACACTGTGTGCTTGTATATGTAGCATGCAGATTGCACTTTGCAGTGAGCACTGCACGCGGACTCTCTCTCAAATGCTAATGTACAGGTATGCAGAATTCTACGAAGCCCCCGTGCCCGTCGCACTCTCAGCATGCCCCGACGGCGCAGGTCTCGAGACAGCACGGCCACCTTTTGGGCGCCATGATGGACTCGTCGACGACAAACTCCTTCCCGAGAAACACGCTGTCGAGGAATGCGATCACTGGGCGGTGCGGTTCGCCAAAGGCCTCGGCGGCCAACGCGGTGTGCTGGGACACCCCGAGGACTCGGTTACCGAGGCAAGGGAGCGTGAACGGATACCACCAGGAGGTGGCCTTGGTCAGTGGCATGGATAGATCGAGCGCAGAGTCCTTGAGCGTCACTAGACGTGCGCCGCCCCCTGCGAGCTCCGACATCGTGTATGTGGCTGCTTTCATGATGTCGCCCTCGGAGGTCACCCAGAGGGATGGGACGGAGAGAGCCTTGACGCGGCGGCGGTTCAAAGGGTGCCAGGTCCGCGTGGTGATCGAAAAGTACGTCGGCAGCGCGGGGCTCACAAAGACACACGCCTGAAACTCACCCGGCGCGGCCATTCCGGTGAAATTGACCGCCTCCACGCCGCCCATTGAGTGACCCATCACAGCAACCTTGCGGAGATCGCCGCGCGCGAGGGGGGACGAGCCCTTTGCAGCCTCCTCCTCGACCCACGCGTGGGCCGCCAGGAGATGCTTGCCGTCTGTGATCCGCGAGCCGGGAGCCGTGCAAAAGCAGCAAAGGGCGCACGTGGTGCCGCAGCAGCCATACGATACGGAGTTTGCGCGCTCGGGCATGACCACGAGGTACCCGGCGTTCGCGATCCGCTGTGCCATGAACGCATGGCCCGCTGCGTCCACCTGGTGCCCGTGCTGGAACAAGACAACTGGCAGGCCGGAGCCTTCCCTCGGCGCAAATACTGCAAACCGGAGGTCCTTGCCAGGCACGGCCTCGTACAATGCGGGTTTGGGTTCGCAACCGCGCTCAATGTTCAGATTCTCGGGCGTTGCGACTGCGAGGTCGATGTGAGTGGACTCCATGCGCGGAATGCTGCGCGGATAGCCGGTGAGCGGTGTATTTCACCACGGACTGGATGACAGGGATGGACGATTGCCGGAAATCCCGTTCTAGGCTCTCGGCAGGGTCTCGGAAGTGTCTCTGCACCGGGCCGGCCGTCGCCCCCCCAACGCCCTTTGCACGCAGCGCGTTCCACTCCCCGAAGCGCGCGCCGTGGAAGAGGGCGGCCTATCTGCGGAGCGAGCAGGCGGCGCTGAGGCCGCAAAGGGGGGGGGGGGGGCATTAATTAGAAGGGCCGAGAGGTGGCATTCTCGAGCATCTAGGCCGCCCTTGCCCCTTCCTCGCCAGCGAGGCGTACCCCACCGGCTCGAGCTCTAGGGTCGGATCGACGCGGCAGATCGAGGCGTGGCCTCCGCGCGCACGCACGAGCTGCCGCCGCCCTCGCCTAGCCAAGAAAACGCGGCGCTCAAAAAAGAAAACGGTGGGTTGCCACGAGCCGCGCGCCGCCCTCGCCTAAAACGAAAACGCGGCGATCAAAAAAGAAAACGGACCCGGCCACGAGCTCCTCGAGCCCCTCCGGCTGTCGCGCCGAGCGCGCCTGCAACGAAAACTTGCGGGCGTGAGAGAGAGAGAGTTTTGTGGGACGAGCGGCGCGGGCTTCTGCTGCTCAATGAGGCCTGAACAAGAAGGTCTGCGATCCCAAGAGAGGTGGGACGAGCGGCTCGGGCCTCTGCTGCTTCGGAGGCCAGGAGTGGTGCAGGACGCGAGCGCGGCGCAAGCAGAGTGAAGCCGTCGGGGCGGAGGCGCGGCGGGGCCCGCTCGCCACGCACCGCCTCGCCGCGCAGCAGCCGCAGCAGCGCCTCGGTCATCGGCTCCGCGGCCGCGGAAACGGCCGCCGCCGCGCCGCCGTCGCCGCCGTCGTCGTCGCGAAGCTTGAAGACGCGGCGTCGACTTGCCAAAGACGAGCGAGCGGCCGGCGGCGCAGCAGTCTCGCTGTCTCGGGCCCCTCTCGAGGATTTCAGAAATCCGAGCCCCAGGCTGTTCTTCACCTTCCTACCTACCTACCTATGACAGCACACCATACACACATACGGGAAACTCCTCGCGTGGTCTACGTTTTCTGCGCCTCTTCCGCCTGGTCTCTCGTGGACGGCAACCCCGACCGGACCCCGCTAAGCGCCTGCGCCAAGCGCGCGTCTTCTTCGCCTTGCGCGGTGCCCTGTCCGCCTCCCGGGTTCATCAGCCTTCCGGAGCCTCCAGCGACGCCCGCGCGCTCGCCCGAGAACATGATCTGCAGAATCTTGCGCTCCCCGCGGTAAAACTCGACCGGCGTCGTCGAGTGCGCAAAGTAGCCATTGTCCCACACGATGAGGTCGCCCGCCTCCCACTGATGCGCATAGACGCGCGGGCCAAACTCGGTCGGGCGAGTGGGCAGCAGCGAGTCCGGATCGAGAGGCGCGACGCTCACCGGCGCGCCCAAGCCCGCCGACAGCAGCTCGTGGGCGATTCGCTGGCTCGCCTCGTGCTCGTAGCCCACGAAGTGGTCCAAATTCTTTGGCGAGAGCTGCAGGGCGCGTCGGCCGTGCACGTCGATCGCGGCGGGGACCGGCTGCGAGGCGCCGAGCTCCCACGTCGGCTTGCGCCGCAGAGCGGGCCGAGCGAGGCGCGTGCCTGTCGCGTTCATGCGCAGGCCGCACTCGGCGTCCAGCCACGCCGGCCCGCCCGCCGAATACCGCGCCGAGTAGACCACGCGAAGCGACTCGGCGAGCGCCTGTTGCTCTGGCGAGAGCGCCTCGTGCATCTCGATCGCGTTGGCGAAGAGGGTCTCGGCGCCGGCGGCCGGTGCAGTCTCGCAGTACAGGATGGTCAGATCCGACGCGTCGACGTGCCACTCGTATCCCATCCGGCACAGCATCGAGTCTTTGACCGTTCCCAACGCCCGCACCATTGGCAAGCCCGGCTGGCCACCGCCGTCCACTTCAAACTGGATGGCGCGGACCGGATCGAAGAGCGCGCCCGGCGCCGCAAACTGGCTCGCAAAGGCCACCAGCTCTCTCGCGCGCTCCTCGCTCGGCCGCTGGCCTCGGATAATCAGCATGCCGTGTGTTTTGATTGCGTCCCTCATGAAGTGCGCTACCGATTCCGGCACCGCGTCTTCGAAGCTGGTGCTGCCTTGCTCCTCCGGAAGGATGAGCGCGCCAAGGTCAAATCCATGGACCACTGCGCCGCCGGTGGGCAGCGGAGTCGCGGTGGGCAGCGGAGTCGCGGTGGGCAGCGGAGTCGCGGTGGGCGGCGTCGTGCGGCGTCGCTTGCTGCTGCGGTCTGACGACATATTCCCCTTGACTCGCGTTAGTGCCAGTGCGCGCGAGTCCCGTGCCCCCCACACACACACTATATACCGGGCTCGGGCGCTGGTTGGGATTCGCCGTCGGAGAAGAAGAAAAAATCTTCGGTTCACGACACCAATTTCTTAATTTGAAGAATTCTGTCCGAGGGGTGGCCGTGTTCGAGGAGTACAGGCGCCAGGCAGCTGCTGAGGGCCGTGCAGCAGCAGAGGCAGCGGCGGAGGCGGAGATGGAGGAGGAGGAGCCCGAAACGGGCAGCGGGGAGGCTGCGGCATTGGCCGCGCCCCTGCGCGGCCTGGCGTCTGCGCCAGGCTGCGCTGGCACAACGGACAGGGTCACTTCTTTTTCCGACACTCTCCGCCCCGCCTGCAGCGCGACAACGGCTTCATCATCTTCATCAGCGGCCTTCATCCATGCCTACCGGCCTCCTGACCCTTTGAGTGTCGGGCCTTGCGGCGTGATATGCGCCCGCGGATACGCCACAATCTGGCCCGCCGGATACGACGAACCCTGCCTCCTCGATGGGGCAGCGATTCGGCTGCTGGCGTCGGCGATGGCGACAGTGCGGGCGTATGAGGACATCGAGGCGCGTCGCGGCCGGGATGGTGGCGATGTCCGGGACGTGCGCTGCTGCCGGGACGTGCGCTCCTGGGCGGAAGTCTGCGCGGCGGCTCGCGAGAGGGAGTTCAAGATCTTGGCTCGCGATTCGGTTCGCGCGGCGGCGGCTCGCGCGGCGGCTCGCGCGGCGGCGGCTCGCGCGGCGGCGGAGGCGGCGGCAGAGGTGGCTGAGGCGGCGAAGGAGGAGGAGCCCGAAACGGGCAGCGGGGAGGCTGCGGCATTGGCCGCGCCCCTGCGCGGCCTGGCGTCTGCGCCAGGCTGCGCTGGCACAACGGACAGGGTCACTTCTTTTTTCGACACTCTCCGCCCCGCTTGCAACGCGACAACGGCTTCATCACCTTCATCATCCTCGACATCCATCGCCGGTGCGGCGGCCGGCGAGGCCGCGGCGGCGGCGCCGGCGTTGACCAAGAGCGCTAGGAAGCGGCTCAAGGAGAAGGCGAGGAAGGGGCGGCGCGCTGCAGAGGCGGCGGGCGAGCCGGAGGTGGCGCCATCGCCGGCGCCGCCGCCGGTGTTCAAGACGCTCAGGGAGAAGAAGGCGGCTCAGGCGTCAGCGGAGGGCTGGGCGGCGGAGGTGGCGAGGGCCGAGGAGCTCTACGAGGAGCTGCGCGAGCGCGCGCCCCAGCACTGCCGCCGTGGCGGCAAGTGGGCGCGCGAGAAGTTCTCGTGATGGCGGTGCAGGGAGAGTTCCCGCGCGCGAGAGGGGCAGGCGTTCCCAAGGGGACGGTCCTGTGCCTCGGCAGGGTGCTCGACGCGCACGATGAGCAGGATGACGCGGAGGGTGGGCACCGGGACTGGGAGGAGGACCCGCTCGGGTTCGACACCAACCCGATGCTGCTCCGCGCCATGTGCATGGCGTTCGAGTGAACGCCGTGCAGGCAGCCTGTGCCTTTTGGTGTACCGCGTCCTGTGCCCCCGAGTTCATTTAAAGGCCTACTTTGGCTCTTGGGCGGCCGCCCTCAAACCCGTACGGGTTGTGTCAGCGCCGCGCGCGCCCCCAATGCCGGGCTCTGCGCCGGGTATTTCGGGCGCCGAGAGTGGCCTGGCCCCGGGCCCACCCCCGGAGGCCGATGGCGACATGCACCGCGACCCATTCCGCCTCCTGGAGGCTGCTCTCGGACGTTCAAGCGGCGCCAGCCAGCGGCTCGGCCGCGCATCCTTCACACACGCCGCCACGACCGGGATGAGAGGGACCAGTGTCGAGTCATGGTACGAGCTGCATGTGAGGGGCGGCTGTGGACACAGCAGGCCCACCAGAAGGGCGTCAAAGCTTGCCGTCGGCGTGCTGTCGTGGCGACAGCCCGAGACAGCTGCAGAGGAGCCGAGTGCAGTGGCGAGCCAGAGGCTACCTAGGTCACCAAGTGGTAGCCCTTGCCCATTCTGAGCAGGGCTGTGCTTTGGTGGGGTTGTGCTTGAGCATGTGTGAAGTGGGAGTGGGTGCCGGCGGTGTCTGTGGGTGAAACGGGCGTGTATGAGGCCGTAAGAGCAGTGGTATGAGCCAGAGTGGGCTTCATCACCCAAAATAAGGACGCTTTGGGAGAGCTCAGACTTGATACCGATGGGACTGGGCCAGGAGAGCGACAGAGAAGGCGAGGTGGTGAGCTGGGAAGCCGCTTCGTCGGCACCTGGACGTGTCGCGATGAACTGCCAAAAGGCACCTTTCGAGGATATTGCTCAAGACTTCGCGAGACAAGCCCTCACAATTATGTGTGCACATACTGGCCCAGGCCCATCAGTAGCACGTCTGAGCCGTCCCAGACCGCACTTACCTTGGGTCTGCAAGCTCACACTGGCTCGTGATGCCACGGAGAGGGCTCGAGATTGTCTTCGGCGGACCCCATCCGAGGCGATTCCGAGGGCATTCCGGAGGTCATTATCGGCGCCACCGACCGTGAAAAACATCGTCCCGCAGCCCTCATGCACCAGACGCATGGATGCAGTCATAATATGTAGGCCTTGTCTCCCGAAGTCTTGAGCAATAGCCGCAAAAGGTGCTTTTTGGCACTTGCATCGCGACACGGTCACACGCGGACGCTCCAGCCTCTCAGCTCACCACCTCGCCTTCTCTGTCGCCCTCCTGGCCCAGGCCCATCAGTAGCACGTCTGAGCCGTCCCAGACCGCACTTATCTTGGGTCTGCAAGCTCACACCGGCTCGTGATGCCACGGAGAGGGCTCGAGATTGTCTTCGGCGGACCCCATCCGAGGCGATTGCGAGGGCTTTCCGGAGGCCATCACCGGCGCCACCGACCGTGAAATGTCTCGTCCCGCAGCCCTCATGCACCAGGCGCATGGATGCAGTCATAATATGTAGGCCTTGTCTCCCGAAGTCTTGAGCAATAGCCGCAAAAGGTGCTTTTTGGCAGTTCATCGCGACACGTCCAGGTGCCGACGAAGCGGCTTCCCAGCTCACCACCTCGCCTTCTCTGTCGCTCTCCTGGCCCAGGCCCATCGGTATCAAGTCTGAGCTCTCCCAAACCGTCCTTATTTTGGGTGATGAAGCCCACTCTGGCTCATACCACGGCTCTTACGGCCTCATACACGCCCGTTTCACCCACAGACACCGCCGGCACGCACTCCCACTTCACACATGCTCAAGCACAACCCCACCAAAGCACAGCCCTGCTCAGAGTAGTCGTGAACCACCCTTTGGCAGCCGTGGAAGCCCCACAGCCGCTGCTTCTCTCGACTCCTCTCAATGCGTGTCGTACACCACCCCACGAAAGCCCACCGAAAGAGCACTGGTGCTCTCCGCGTGCGCCACCGATGTGATTGTGCAACGTCAGCCACCTCGCCGGAGGTAGTTGCGACTGGGGACACCGAAAGCTCGACGCTCGAGCACGTGTGGCAAAGTTTTGCGACACCCTGCGACTCGACCCCCGAGGGCTGCCGGCCGCCGACAGCAATACCGAGACCGGATTGCGCAGCGAGTTCGGTCTGAATGTGCCCAGGGCCAGCCCGTGGACCGGTACGGACGGCAGGTACCCATGGGACCGCTGCGGCGGTTTTGGGAGGCGCCACGAGTCCCAATGACGCACGGCCGGCGCACTTCCCCAAGCCTGAAGTAGGCCTTTATTAAATAAACCTTCTGTCCGAGGTCCAAACCACACCGCCGCTCGCGCCGCCTCGCCGCCGCCGCCGCCGCCGCCGCACGCTGCCCCCTCACCGACCTGCCCCTTGAGCTTCTCGCGCGCGTCATCTCCCGCTGCGACCCCGCCGACATCGCTCGCGTCGCGGCCGTCTCGCTGCTCTTTCACGCCTCGCTTGCGGTGGAGGCCATCCGCTTGTGGGCGCAAGAGCGCGGCTTCGAGCTGCCGGCGCAGCCAGAGGGCGAGGGCTGCGCCGTGCGGTGGCTGTGCTTCGCTGCGTTGCTGTGCGAGGCCACCCCGCCGGTGAGGGCGGCGGCAGGCCAGCGGCACAGCCTTTTCATCGATGGCGAGGGGCGGCTCTCGTCGTGCGGCTCAGCGCCGCCCTACGCTCCAGGGCTACTCGGCCACGGCGAGGGCGTGACGCAGCTCAACACGCCGACACGCCTCACTTCCCCGCTGGGCGGCGAGCGTGCCGTGAGCGTGTCGGCTGGAGCACTCCACAGCCTCGCCCTCACCGCCGGCGGCGCTGCCTGGAGCTGGGGCAGTGGAGTCTACGGCCGGTTGGGCCACGGCGACGTGCAGGCCCAGCTGCTGCCAAAGAAGGTCGAGGCCTTTGATGGCCAGCGCGTCGTCGCTGTGTCGGCTGGGAACGGTCACAGCCTCGCCCTCACCGCCGACGGCGCTGTCTGGAGCTGGGGCGGTGGAGGCGGCGGCCGGTTGGGCCACGGCGACATGCAGATGCAGCTGCTGCCCGAGAAGGTCGACGCCTTTGACCAGTGTGTCGTTGCTCTGTCGGCTGGAGGATACCACAGCCTCGCCATCACCGCCGACAGTGCCCTCTGGAGCTGGGGCGGTGGAGGCGACGGCCAGCTGGGCCACGGCGATCACCAGCGCCAGCTGCTGCCGAAGAAGGTCGAGGCCTTTGGGGGCCAGCGCGTCGTCGCAGTGTCGGCGGGAGGGTCTCACAGCCTCGCCCTCACCGCCGACGGCGCGGTCTGGAGCTGGGGCAATGGCTTGTATGGCAGGCTGGGCCACGGCGACCAGCAGATCCAGCTGCTGCCGAAGAAGGTCGAGGCCTTTGCAGGGCGGCGCGTTGTCACCGTGTCGGCTGGAGTGTACCACAGCCTCGCCCTCACCGCCGACAGCGCTGTCTGGAGCTGGGGCTGGGGAGCTTATGGCCAGCTGGGCCACGGCGACGAGCAGAACCAGCTGCTGCCGAAGAAGGTCGAGGCCTTTGCAGGGCGGCGCGTTGTCGCTGTGTCGGCTGGAGTGTACCACCGCCTCGCCCTCACCGGCGACGGCGCAGTCTTTACCTGGGGCGGGGGCGAGCGCGGCTGCCTAGGCCACGGAGAGGACCTGTCGAACCAGCTGCTGCCCAAGAAGGTCGAGGTGTGGGCGCCGGGGCAGTGAAGAGAAGGGCGAAAGGGTGCAAGGCTCTGTTGCCGCGTTGTGTTGCCGCGTTGCCCACGTGCCTGCGACTGTATCGCCACCTGCGGCGTATGCGAGAGTTGCGAGAGGCGAATCCGGGACGGAAGAGATTGATGCACGGTCCACTGTCTCCTGGTGGCACCTCTTCACTCTAATCTCTCTAGGCCGCGGGCTGTGATGTGTGGGGCGCCCGAGACCCCGAGCCCGACAGACATGAATGCCCCGAGACATGAAGAGTTGTGTGGGACGAGCGAGCTCCCCACCACTGCCCCGCACCACGCTTGGCAGCGGTTTCAATCGGACACTCTCTCACTCGGCCCTCACCGCCCACCCTGGATTGCTGGCGCGGGCTAAACCTAAAGAAAAGGACAGCGTAGTGCCATTTCACTGTGGCACAGCCCGCGTTACAAAGCCTTGATTTGACCATTTGCGCAAAAAGGTACCTCTCGGTGCCTTCCAGAGGCAGCTGCGACCACGCCGAGTAGACGGCGGCACACAGCAGGTGGCGCGGTGTGCCGCCGTCCACTCGGCGGGGTCGCAGCTGCCTCTGCGCGTCCTGGGGATGTACCTTTGTCGCGCGCCGGAGACGGCTCGACGCCGCTGAGATCGGAGATCAAGCTCTGACAGGTCGCACGTCGCTCCTTTGACGCCGACGTGACTCACCCGTGCAGATCACATCAGGACACGGTCTCGACGCGCTCGGTACGACGCCTGCGACCCGTCTCTGGTCAGGTGGCACGACGCTCATCGCGCCTACCAGCGCTGCCGTGCAGGTTGCCACGACGAGGTCGAGCACGCTTCTATACGCTCGCCGAGCCTTCCTTTCCATCCCATTAGGCAGCCTGGGAACGGTGGCGGCCAGAGGCAAAGCCTACGAGGGTGGTGGAACCACATGTCACGGCTACTGCCGGCTCGACCCCACGATAGCCTCCGAAGGCTGACTTTGCGGCACCATCATCGGACGATGTCGACGAGTTGGGTCGCTCTCGCGGTAGCCAGATGACCCCCCATACTAGTATCATCGGCCATGGCCGCAGGAAGCGCGGGGGAGGGCGCTGGGAGCAACACGGAGCTCCGTTGGAGACGTTTTCAAGATTAGCGTGTCAGAGTGAAATGGCACTAGCCACAATCAAACCAGCCCAGGGCGGATGGTGGTGCTGGTGGTGACCTTACCTCTCCTTACCTTAAAACAAAAAAAGAGGAACTTACAGCAAGTGCATCAGTGATCAACAGATGTCCGGCCCGATGGTCATCTTTGGCCAACCTCCTCCTGCGCAGCCCCCGAGGGCGCACCGCTCGCTCTCGCCGCCGCTATCCCGCCCACCAGCAATGGCAGCAACGCCTCGGCCACGCGGACCCCGTCGACGGCGGCCGACACGATCCCGCCCGCGTAGCCGGCTCCCTCGCCGGCCGGGAAGAGGCCGCGCAAACCGAGCGCCTATGTTGGTTGATTTCGGCTGATCTCGGGGGGAGAGTTCGGTGCGGAAAGAGGTGCGCACGACCCTCGCGCCTCGCACGTCTCGTGGTCGCGTGACACCTGCAAGTGCAACCGAAGTGGAGCGAGGGAAGCCGTGATACAGCCAACGAGTAGCTAGGGAGCAGCCGAGTGGCAGCCGAAATGCAGCCGAGGTACAGCCGAGGTACAGCCGAGGTACATTCGAGGTACAGCCGAGGTACATTCGAGGTACAGCCGAGGTACATTCGAGATACAGCCGAGATACAGCCGAGATACAAACGAGGTGGCGCCTGGACTGGCGCCGACGTGCGCGTCTCTACGCCGTGCAGCAGCGCCGCCTGGCCGTCGAAGCCTACCGGACGTGTCCAGGACACGTCCCAAAAACCGCGCGGCGTATGTGCGGCGGCTCCGACCCCGGCGTCCCAACCAGGGAACGAGGCGGCGAAAGCTCGCATCCCGTCGCGCAACGCTGCCGTGAGCGGCGGCGGGTAGAGCTCGTGCAGCGGCGCCGCGGCGACGCCTATAATCTCGCGCAATCTCGGGGCCATCTCGGGGCCATCTCGGGGCCATCTCGGGGGGGAGGGTATAATCTCACGCAATCTCGGGGCCATCGGGCCATCGCGGGCCATCTCGGGTGTATGTGTGTGGGTGTGGGTGTGGGTGTGTGTGTGGGGGGGGGGGGGGGGGGGCTTTTACCCAACCGCCGCGTGGGGTCCCCCCCAACCCGTACCAAGAAGGAGGGAGCGGCTCCCTCGAAAGCCCGCCCTCCAAAAAATCCCTCCCCCCCTTCCCCCGGGAGGGGAAGCCGCCCCCCCCCATTGGCGCCGCCCGGGGCTTCATTGGCTTTTGGAAACCCAAACCCGCGAGGGCCGGCGGCAGAGCGCCCTCCCCGAACGGCAAACCGGCGGAAGGCGGGGTTCCGCCACCGCCCGCCACACTACCGCCGCCCGCCGCCGCACTACCGCCGCCCGCCGCACTACCGCCGCCCGCCGCACCGCCGGCCGCCGCACCGCCGGCCGCCGCCGCACCGTTGCCGCCCGCCGCGCTGCCACTGCCTGCCGCGCCGTCGCCGCCCCACTCCCCGTCGCCGGCCGCATCCTCCCCATCGCCGCCCCCTTCCCCGCCGCCGCCCGCCGCGCCATCGCCGCCCGCCGCGCCGCCGCGTCCGTCCTCCGGAGCGTGCAAGTACGGCGCGAAGTCGCCGAAGCGCTCGCCGACAGAGACGACCTAGAAAGTCCCTGGAAGGTTCCTAGAAGGTTCCTAGAAAGTCGCCGAACCGCGCTTGACGGAGACGGCCACGGCGGAGTTCGCCCACTTGGAGCCTACGCGCTGAAGGCACCAACATCGGGGCGGTACGACGGGGTTGTGCAGGGCAGAGCGCTGTGTGAAGACGAGAAGAGGGAACGGCGCGTGTCCTCTCGAGCGCTGGTTGGAGCACAAGAAATGCGTATCCGGCGTCTAAGACTTTGGGGCCTCGGTTCGAGTACGACATGCCGTTGATGCAGAGCCTGCGTGGTGAAGTACCATACCTCCAGAGTATCGAACCCAGTGTGGGTTCAGTCCCGTGGGCGGTGCGGTATCTCCAGTGCAGGGCCTGCGTGGTGAAGTGTGCATTCCTCAGGGCGTGAAGACGGTCTTGTGCAGCGTCTTCAGAGCACCGCGTGGAGACACGACGGGTGCGAATGCAGTGAACACAGCTGAACACGGCCGAATACAGTTGACTGCGTGTCCTCTCGAGCGCTGGTTGGGAGGCAAGAATCCGCGTCTTCCGCTTCTGGGGCGCAGCGCCGGCCCTCCTCGAGCGACGTCGGGACGATTTGCCCGCCGGGGCACATGCAGAAGGAAAAGACACCTAGAAAGTTCCGAGAACGTTCCAGAACGTTCCTGGAAGGTCGCGGGCCATGCAGAAGGAAAAGACACCGCGCGTCGACGCCGCCGCTCCCTCCGCTCCGTCGGCGGCGTCAGCGGCGGCGGCGACGCGGGTGGCGGCACCGCCGCTAGCAGTGTTGCTAGCATTGCTGCTGCCACTGCTGCTGCTCGCGCTGCTGCTGCTCGCGCTGCTGCTTGCGCCGGTGGCGACGTTGGCGGCGAGGCGGTACGAGGCGGGTGGCAGCCGCCCTCGCCTGTCAACCATTAACAGTGTCAACCAACTATTGTGCATTAATAGCTGTGAAGGGGCAACCGCAACGGCCTGTTACTCATCAGTCGCCTCAAACGAACTCGCCGTTCGTCACAAGGAGCCGATGGGCAGCAGAGCCCTCGCCCTCCGCTCTTGCAGTGCGCCACCGCGAGCTCCTCGCCGTACTGCGCCGCGTCGACGACGCCTTTGATTCACGGGATGCGCTCAGTAGTCCGTACTGCGACTGAATCCGAGTACTAAATTACTTAACTCCTTGGTTACTGAGAATAACTGAAGACTCGCCTTGCGGATGCTCGATATGGGGAGATATGGGGAGATATGGGGAGATATGGGGAGATACTCGCCTTGCGGGTGCTCGATCCGGAAACCAACCGCAAAGTCCTTCGGCGCCAGCGTCGCCCCGCAGCGCAGCAGCTCCTGGTACAGCTCCCTCGCAGAGTGGCCAGCAGCAAGCACGACCGCGTCGGCAAGGACTCGCTCTCCACTCGCCAGCACCACGCCTAGAAGGTTCCTAGAAGGTTCCTAGAAGGTTCCTAGAAGGTTCCTAGTCGGCAAGGACTCGCTCTCCACTCGCCAGCACCACGCCTGCTACCATATCTCCCCATATCTCCCCATATCTCCCCATATCTCCCCATATCTCTCCACTCGCCAGCACCACGCCTGCTACAGCTGCTCGAGAGTACCCCGAGAGCGCCCGAGAGTACCCGAGATTACCCGCAGGACCACGCCTGCTACGCCGCCGCATCCAACGCCGCCGCCGCCGCCGCCGCCGCCAGCGGCACTGCCCACGCCGCCGCCGCCCTCGGCAGCGCCCTCGCCCTCGGCACCGCCCTCGCCGCCCTTCAGAATGAGCGACTGTACGCGCGCGTCCCAGAGGATGTCGGCTCCCAGCCGCAGCAGCTCGGCGCGGAAGCCTAGAAAAGGAAAAACACATCGCGACCTTGTATTTCTTTTTCTGCCCGCCGCAGCAGCTCGGCGCGGAAGCCTAGAAAAGAAACATCGTCCCCCTTGTATTTCTTTTTTTGCCCGCCGCGGCAGCTCGGCGCGGAGACCCTTGAGCAGCCGCACGAGGTTGTCGGTGCCTGTGATTCACAGCCGACGACTGATGGCTGAAGCCTCTCCAAGCCCTCGAGCGGCCGCACGAGGTGTTGGCAGTACCGAGGTGCGGCTTGCCGTCCAGAAGGATCCTCTCCGGAGCGCCGAACGTGACGAGCGTCTCGAGGACGGTGCGCACCTGGCGACGAGGGTGGGATGATGGGGGTGGGGATGCGGAAGAAATGAATCGAGCGGTCCAACTCTGAGACGAGATGGGATGCAGGGACATGTACATGTGCGTGTGCGTGTGCGTGTGCATGTGCATGTGTGTGTGCGTGCGCATGTGCATGTGCATGTGCGTGTGCGTGTGCATGTGCGTGTGCATGTGCGTGTGCATGTGCATGTGCATGTGCGTGTGCGTGTGCATGTGCGTGTGCGTGTGCGTGTGTGCCTGGCTGGGAGCCGCCTGATTACTTCATCAATTCACCGCTTCGTCACTTAGTTACCCCCACCGAGCGCTCGGGGGACCGTGTGTAGAATAGCAGGGAGTAGCTCATTCGAGTGCGCCGCCGCCCTCACATCTCTCTCAATCTCGTCGCTATCATCACCTCTCTCACCACCATCTCCTCTCCTCTCTCATCACCGCTACAGAGGAGGCTGCGCACCGCCGCCGATATGGGGAGATATGGGGAGATATGGGGAGATATGGGGAGATATGAGGGGATATGGGGAGATATGGGGAGATATGGGGAGATATGGGGAGATATGGGGAGATATGAGGGGATATGGGGAGATATGGGGAGATATGGGGAGATCTGGGGAGATATGGGGAGATATGGGGAGATATGGGGAGATATGGCTGCGCACCGCCGCCGAATTGCGCCCGATCCGAGTCGTGAGCTTGCCGTCGGACCTAGAAGGTTCCAAGAAGGCTCCAAGAAGGCTCGAGAAGGCTCGAGAACGTCGTGAGCCCTGCCGTCGCACCACGTTCCTGCGCCGCCCTCGCCGTAGCAAAAGTTCGACTCCGGGTCGAGCACGCGCCGCTTGATGAGCGCACCTGCTCACGGCGGTCTCCCCATATATCTCCACATATCTCCCCACATCTCCCCATATCTCCCCATATCTCGCGCCTGTTCACGGCGGTCGTCCTCGCCGCCTCTTCTTCCTCGCAGCACGCGCCGCGTGGCGAGCGCGCCGATGGAGCGGCCGCGCTGCTCGACGGGCTTGCCTGATCTCGGGCAATCTCGGCTCATCTCGGGGCCATCTCGAGCGGCGGCGCTGCTCGACCGGCTTGCCTCGTTCGCACAGCGTGACGCGGACGCCTGGTCAAGACCCTCGCCCTTCAAGACCCGAGACTAGTCCGAGATCTGTCCGAGATCTGTCCGAGATCTGCCCGAGATCTGCCCGAGATCTGTCCGAGATCTGCCCGAGATCTGCCCGAGATCTCACCCGCTCGGGCGAGCGTCAAGGCCGCGAAGAGACCGCAAGGGCCGGCGCCGATAACGACGACGTGCCTCCCGCCGCCGACGCCCTCGCCCTCGCCCTCGCCGTCGTCGCCCTCTGCCGGGTCGCGCGGTGGGTCGGGCGGAGGAGAGGCACGCTCCTACCGAGGCGTTCCGGTCGGGGGACCGTCAGTGCGTGTCTCGCGCACTGCAGACAGATCTCGCGGTGGAAGAGACGACGAGCCCTCTCGAGTACTCGAGAGACGGCTCTGAACTCCGCGTCTACGCCTCGAGATCGGGGGAGGTATGTGGAGAGCCTCCCCTTCTACCTAGCCGTCGCCTGCGCCGTGTCTGTCGTGTGAATCGTGCGACCGCCTTTTGTTGTGAACTTCTATCTAGCAGCACGCTCCCCTGCCGCAGGGACGAGCCGGCCTGGCTGCTTCTTGAGCCGCCTCGACTGCTCCTGCGTGAGCGTCACGTCGACGACAAAGGACCAGCGCACCTCGCGCTCGCCGCTGCGCCCGCCGCGGCCGCCGCCGCCGCGCCGCCGCGGCGGCCTCGCGTCGAGAGACTTTCGCACGAGCCGCAGCCTCTCCGGCGGCAGCGCCTCCGGCTCCAGCTTGAGGCGGCGCGCGACCTCCTCGTGCAGCGCCGGCGGCACGAGTGGCGCGTCATTGTACGAGAAGCGACCTTCCTCCTCCTCCTCCGTGCCCACAGCCGGAAGCTCGACGCCGAAGAGGCGCCACTCGTGCTGGCCGCGCATCACGGCGGCAGCTCGCAGGCAAGCGGGTGCGCGGGGCGCTGGGCGAGGAAGCAGCGCCGCCGCCGCGGGCAGCGCTAGCCGCCAGAGCATTTTACGGAGCGTCGAAGGCGCGAAAAAGAATTGCCGCGGCGGTGTTGCAGTGGTTTTTTCCTTTATCTGGCGTCTCAAGCCTCCATGCACCACCTGTGGCAGCGGCTCAGCTCCGGGCATCCTTTCCGCCTCGGCGTCATCGGCTCCTCGGTCCCCATGTCGGGGGGCTGCCAGGCGCGCTACCAGCCGCGCCTCCCACTCGAACCCGCAAGAGGGCGTACGAACCGCGAGCGTCTCGCACTCGTGACACGCAGGCGTCCGACAGACGGCGCCGGGGCTAAATCGCTAAAAGAAAGAAAGCAAGCACACGGACACCCAAGGGAGGGATGGGAGGACGACACGCCGCCACCATACAGGGATTTTAAGGAGAGGGGCGCCTCGTGGCGGCAGGAATTCCTTTTTCCACGCCCCCGGGGCGAGACGCGGCGCCGTTTTTAGCCGCGCGCGGTCTCAGGCAGCCGCGCGCGCCGCCTATCGCTCCTCCTCCTGCCCGCTTGCCGCAGCACCGATGGCACCGACGCAACTGCTCTCTGCCGCTTTCTGCGCCATCGCCTCAGCCGCCACAGCCGTCGCAGTGCCGCCGGCCGCGCCTGCTCCTCCTTCCCCTCCGCCACCGCCGCCACCGCCATCGCAGCTTATGGAGGTGCTCTCCATGTGCATTGTCGTTACGGGCACAACTCAGTACCCCGACTGGCAATCCATCCACACATACTTGATGGCCGCGCTACTGGCAAAGCCATACCCGTGCTTCATACAGCTCACCTCTACCAACGGCTGCGACCTGCCCAACGAGCGGAACCAGACCAGCCGCGTGTGCACTACCAACGAGTGGGGTGGTGAAGCCTGCGACCCCGACGATCTGGTCAGAATCATTCCGGGGTCTGCAGAGCTGGTTGCTTCACGCAGCGACGACAGCAACAGCAAGCGGCTGATCGCCTCAGCAGGCAACGCCGTGTACTCTGTGACCGTCGTTGGTTTCTCCCACCAAGCTCCCGGCGATTCCTCTTTTGCAGAACGGCTTTGCGACGCCTTTGTTGCAGGTGGCTGCGACGACGTGACCGTCCCAGACTGCCAAGACCACATGCGGAGCGTTTGCTACCCGTCATCTCAAGCCGGGCGGTATCTCAACATAGGCTTCATCGGATTCCAATCTCCCCTTAGCCTTGCCGCGATGCAGGTCTTGGATCCCGACTGGCGCGTTCACGCGCCCCCATGGAGTGGGGAAGACATTGCCTGGCTGCTCCTCTGGTTGTCACCAGTCTGGTTGCCAGCGCTTCTGCTCCCAGCCGTCGCCGCGAGGAGGGCGTTCAGACGTACAGCGGTGCTGTTGGAGTTGGAGAGCGCCTTGAGCGAGATTGAGGTGGAGCAGATGCGGAGCCGCTTTCACGAAAAGGAGGTGCGCAAGGCCGTCTGCGTGACGAAATGGATGGCACGCGCGCTGCTTCTGCTCGCCATCGGTCTGGTCCCCTGGCTGCCTGCCTTCGCCCTCCTTCCCGCCGCACTGCCTCTCGCTCGAAGGAAGATTAGCTGCGCCGCGTGGATCACGTCCAGACCCTCACGTAAATTCTGGCTCACGTTCACGAGCGCGGCCGGCTTTTCTTTCTTCGCTTGGCTCCTCGCGAGCTGGAGCCTGCTTGGGGTCGGCAGCGACCGCGAGCTGTACCGCGTCGGGCATTACCGCGATCCCCGCCCTCTGTTTGTTAGCGCATGCCGTCAGCTCTTCAGCGCATCCGACGACGACGGCTATGAGTCGATCGACGGATGGTACTTCCCGTACCGCGGCAAGGTGTGCAGCGTCCTGATGCACGCCATTGAGCCGCAAAATGTGCAGTACCTCGGCTTGACGCTGCTTGCACAGGGGTGCGTCAGCCTGCTCGTTGCTATCCTCTCGCTGGCGTTGCTGCGCAAGGCTGCGGGGTCCAAGGCCTACCCGGGCTGGACCCGCCTTTCATCTTCCTCCTCGTGGTGCGATGCAAGCGTGGACGAGCTGTTGACCGTCACGGCGGAGCGACTCTCCGACCGCTTCGCCGGCGCTGCCAAGGAGCTCGTCGTAGGACAGCCGGAAGAGGCGGCAACAGGTCTATACGGCATCATCGGCTACTCAGAGGCGTACCTTCACGATCGGATGAGGCAGGGCACCGCGGCAATTATCGAGGAGGCGGAGGCGCTCGGCGATCCGGAGGTGCTCGAGAATCTGCGGTATATCCTCAACGCGCCGGCCGGTTCGAGCGACCGCAGGCCACCCCCGCCCTCCCTGCCGCCCTCGCCCCCTCCGCCCTCGCCCCCTCCGCCCTCGCCCCCTCCGTCGCCCTCCCCACCTCTGCCTCCTCCGCCCTCGCAGCTTTCAGAACGGTTGGCGGCGCGATTGTTGGCCGGACGGTTCCAGCCTCGGAGGGCGCGAGGGCATGGTGCTCGCTGATTTTGTGGCGCTGCCGGTGGCTCGCAGAGCGCGGCTGGAGGAGGCGCACGTGGTCGCGTTGCGGCTCTACTCGACCGCCGCCTTCCGCGCGCTCAATGGACCGATGCGCCAGCTCAAAGTGAGCAACTACCGCAAAGGAGAGGACGGACTCCCTCTCCCGCTCGAGCCCCCGCAGCTGGCCGCGCCGCACCCGCAGCCGGCGACAATGGCCTTCATCTACGAGGCGCTCAAGCGGATGCGCGCCGTCGCTGCAGTGACGACGGCCGGCCTCGATGGCATGGAGCTGGAGGAGCTGGTGGAGAGTGGCGAGCTGAGCCTGGACACTTTGCGGCGGGCGCGCGTCAGCGGCGATGGTCGATTGGGCGAAACGGCCGTCGAGGAGTCGCCGGTGCCAGTGTCGGACTCTGGGGAAGCCGAGCGCGCTGCCGCCAACTGCGAAGAGCGCGCCAAACCATGTGACGCAGGAGAGCCCGCTGCGCGTGGCGGTGGGACAGCATTGCTAGCAGCCTTCCGGGCCCTCTGCTCTTCGAAGGCGGCGAAGCCGGCTAAGGCGGGGGAGGGACGTATCCTCTGGCGCGGGATGGGGGACATGCGCGCCTCTTCCCGCTTCCTCGCGATGGGCGGAACCGAGTTTGCTTGCTGCTCCACGACCTCGCGGCTCGAGGTCGCGGCGCGCTACGCGTCCGCCGCCGGCAAGCAGCGCGCCCTGCTTTTCCGGCTCAAAAGCTCGACGTTCATGAACATGGGCGTGGATATTTCGGAGTTCTCCGCCTTCCCGCACGAGAAGGAGTACCTCTACCCGCCCCTCACGTACATGCACCCCTCCGGTGTGACCCACAGGCTAGTGCGCAACGGAGTGACCTTCGACGTCGTGGAGGTTGAGCCGTCCTTCCCTAGCTAGTCGATGTCCTTTACTTCTTCGCATTGTTTTGATGTCAAAGACTTGATGTCAAAGACTTACACTGCTTCGCATTTTCGAGGCGACCTCGAAAGTGGACGCTGAGATTGCTCAGAGATTCTAAATTAAAGTACGTACCGTACGGCTCTCTACGGCGGAGCAGGGACCCGAGGGACCATGTGGAAGACGGCTAGTGCTAGTCCCCCATCGGGAGGACGACCCCGGCTAGTCGCCGACCACACCCACAAAGAACCCTGCACAAAGATCGCAAGGGCGGGGGCCTGTTCCTTTTTACCCATCTCACAGTAGAGAGGTGTCCGTTTTTATTTATTTATTTACGGCGGAGCGCCAACACCGTAACGGCAGACGATCTATCCTCTCTCTTCCTCCTCCTCGCTCCTCCACTCCGCTCTCCGCTCTCCGCTCTCCTGGCCTCTCGCCTCTCGCCTCTCGCCTCTCGCGCTCTCTCTCTCCTCTCCTCTCTCTCTCCGCTCTCCGCTCTCTCTCTCTCCAGCGTCGGCGCCTCAGCCCCCGCCCGCCACGTACATGCAGAACGAGGCGCACCGCCCCCGGGGGGGGGCACCAATACCCGAGACCCTCCCCCCTCCCCTGTCCCCTGCCCCCTGCCCCCTCCCCTCCCCCCGCCGAGCCGCGCCCGCAGCTACGTCCCCGAGAGAAGGGGGAGCGGAGAGAGAAGGGGCGGAAGAGGGGGAGGGCTATGACGAGACGGCGCAAGGCGTCGTCGGCGTCGGCGTCGTCGGCGGCGGCGCTGCGGCGGCGGAGGCGGCGGCGGCGGGAGGGAGGAAGGACTCGAGCCGCGCGATGACCATCTCGAGGGCGACAGAGTTGAGGCCGGTCGGGATGATGATGTCGGCGAACCGCTTGGACGGCTCGACAAACTCGTTGTGCATCGGCCGCACGGTCTCCGTGTACTGCGCGATAACCGTCTCGGCGGTGCGGCCTCGCTCGGTGATGTCGCGGCGGAGTCGGCGGATAAAGCGCAAGTCCGCCTCAGTGTCGACGAAGATCTTGATGTCGCACGCCTTGGCCAGCTCCGGCTCCGCGAAGAGCAGGATCCCCTCGACGAGGATGATGCGCGCCGGCGAGACAGACTGCATGTCGGCCTCGCGGCTGTGCGTCGAGTAGTTGTAGATCGGCACCTGCTTCAATAATTAACAATTCATGCTTCATTCGTCAACAGGGTGTGCGTCGAGTAGTTGTAGATCGGCACCTGCACCGGATGCCCCTCCTTGAGGGCGGCGAGATGCTGCAGCAGCAGCGGCGAGTCGAGGGAGTCGGGGTGGTCAAAGTTGACCTGGGCGCGCTCCTCGATCGCCAGGTGCGACAGGTCCTTGTAGTACGAGTCGTGCGCGATGTGTATCAGGTTGTCCCGGCCGAGCCGCGAAGCAATCGCCCGCGAGACGGTCGTCTTGCCGGAGCCAGTGCCGCCCGCGATGCCGACGACGATGGGCCGCTCCGCCTCGGAGGGCCGCCGCGGAACGTCGGAGGGCGCCACGGACTTGGCCTCGCGGATCGGAGCCCCACTCTTGGGCAGGCCGAAAGAGTCGCGGCCGGGAGTGTGCCCGTTCGTGCTCGCGTTCTCGCGGTCGAGCATGGCGTCCGAAGTGGAGTCTCCGTGCGCCTGTCGACTCTGCAGCAGGGTGCCGATGCCCACCGTCACTGCCGCGGACACAGTAGCCAGGCGTGCGTGCATGCACTGAACCAAACCGGCGAGCAGAGCGCGGGACTACAGCTCGTGGGCAGAGAGATCAAAGAAATACCGTGGCTTTTCGGCGGCCAGCATGACCGGGTAGGTAGGGTAGGTCTGGGCCCTCGGGTTTTCCCTCTCTTCACGCCGGAAATTTTCACAGCAGAAAAAGAATTTTCCGCAAATCACGATGTCAACCCTCCCCAAGTGAGGTGATAGAGAGAGAGAATTCTTGATACGAAACCACGACGACACACACCAGTCGACTCGCATCGGTCTCTCTCTCTCTCTCTCTCTCTCTGAGGTGATCTGGTTGGTGCTTGTAGGGCTTGAGAGTGGCCTGCCATGTCACAGGAAGGACTATGGTTGCAGGAGAGCACCACCGGCCATCACTTAGTTGGTATAAGGTAAGGTAAGGTAAGGTAAACTTCTCCACACACACGAGGTGGTGGGGCAAGGGGGGGCAACCCTCGCGTCGTAGTTGGTATAGTACCCCACCTTCACCCCTCCCATGATTTCTTTTTAGGGCCGAATACTTCGCAAGTTCGCTGCGATTCCTTGTGGCACTAGAGCCTGACTGTTCTTCACCTTACTACATACATACATACAGCGGGAGGAAAGCGGCGAGTCGCAATTCCAGGGGTCGTTGTGGCGGGCCACCCTGTCCAGAGAGGCATGGATGCCAATCTGGGGTCTCTCGACCGAGTCTATATGAGCCCTGGCCGCCTCCCGATCTTGGTGGTAAGGCCGCAGCCGAACAAGGCGACGGAGATGGCGCGGGAGAGTACGGGTGTTCCAGGGGATCACGACACGCACCGACCCTTCACGAGCCGAAAGGCTGTGCCCGGGGAAGGCACAGTAATCCGGCACGTGTTGGGCGCCCCGTTCCGATGGTGGGGTAAATAGTGCCCTCTCGAACTGGGGCCGTGAGGCTGTGCACACACACACACACACATAATTTGCAAATATGTGAGAGGCCCTCTCGGTCGTGAAGGTACATGTATCGCTCTTGCTTCTTGTCTTTGCTAGAATTCTTTTTTGCCCAGTGTCGTGCGAGGGAGTTTTGTTGTAAAATTCTTTTTTTGCGCAGGCAAATACGTCGGGCGGCGCGAGAGCGAGCCGCGCCCTCGCCTCTGCGCTGCCAGTCACACGCTAGAGCGATGCTGTCGGCCACCGCCGTCCCTCCCGTGCCTGGAGCACTGACCGCGTCCGAGGTGGTGGCCCGCGTTGGCGCCTCTGGCGTCGCGAGCATCATCGGCTTCGGCTCTCTCCTCTCCGAGCAGTCCGCGCAGTCCACTTGTCCGTCGGCGTCTCGGTTCCGGCTTGGCCGTGTGCGGGGCTGGAGGCGCGTCTTCGGCCACCCGGCTCACATCTTCTTCGCGCGAGGCATCGCGCGTCCCGACACACGCGAGATCGCCTCGCTCTGTGCGGAACCGAGCGAAGACGCTGCGAGCGGCTTTGTCGTCGCGGCGTTCGACGTTCCCGCCTCGGAGCTGCCTGCGCTGCTCGAGCGGGAGGAGGAGTTCAACTTTGTGGAGGTCCCAATCTACCCGCTCGGAGGCGGCGCCTCCTCGCCGCCCGAGAGCACCGGCATCATGTGCACGCGCGCCACCGACGAGGAGGTGCTTGACAGGCGTGGCCACCGCGCAAAGTACGAGGCCGCCCTCTCGCCGCACTTCGGTTCCGTCACCGTCTGGGGGTGGGGCGCCGACTCGGGACTGCGGCCGTGCCCGGTCTACTGCCGCCACTGCGTGCTCGCGTCCCAAAAGCCCGGCGTGCCCAAGGAGGCGGCCGATTCGTTCCTCGACGAAACTCTGCTCGCCGACCGGCGCACGACGTTGCGGCAGTACCTGCAGGCGGACGGCGGCCACGTTATGCATACGCTGCCGCCTCCGGAGCTGAAAGCGAGGTACAACGGCTGAGTGGGTTCCGTGCACAGTGCCGGCGATCTTCGACAGCGCTTCGCTGGCATGCAGCTCTTTGCGCCTGAAGCTCGCCCCGCCCTCACTGGCCTTGTCACTTGTGAGCTGCGTCTTCATGAATGTGTGATGTGTGAGAGCGATGCTCTGCTTGGCGGCTGCCGGGGGCACACTGTGGGACGATGGGCGTGAGATAAAACCACGCTCCACCTCCAGCGCTTGACCTTGTGTGACTCCATAAAAAAATGAAGGGGCGACCACATGCACACATCGGCCCTGCAGGATCCTCTTTCTGTCGTATTGCAATAATATCAACACTGATCTGCTTCATTGCTGACCGTGCCGAGCTCCTCTACCGCGCGTCCGCGCCCCCCCCTCCTCCGACCCCCCAGGCTAGATGGAGTAGTCAGATGTAGATTCTGCCCCACACAGCCCCTTACCCCTTCACCCTCGCCTCGCTGCTTGGTGTTTCTGAACATGTAGTCGTCCACGCTGTGGGGGTTGTGTGTGGGTCCTGTGTGTCTGGGAGGGAGGGAGTGGCAGTGGGGTGCAGGTTGCTCACCCACGGCACCGGGCCGGTGCTTGCACTTTGAATGCCGTGGGGCTCCTGCTCGTGTCCCGGGCGTGGAGATGCGAGGGTCGCCCCCCCTTGCCCCACCAGTTTTATGATGTATCTTATTCCGGGGCCCGTGTGCGGGGGGCTCTCATCGACATTGTCGACGTGGAGGACGAAGGCGACTGGCAGGTCGTGCGAAACTTCGCGGCGGCGCACGGCCAGCTCGAGGCCCTTAACGTCTTCCTCGAGTACGCGAAGGGCGCGGTGCAGCACGCCGAGGACCTCGTGGGGCCCGAGAGCCTCGAAGGGATCGTGCGGGAAACGAAGAGGAAGCTGCTCCGTTTCGAAGGGCGGCCGGACCTTGCGGCACTAGCGATGCAACTGGCACGGCTGGTGCTACCGCACGTCGGCCTGGAGGGCAGGCCGGTCGGCGTCACAAGAGGCGACGGCAGCGTTGCGGGGGTCAGCCTGATCGTAACCTTGCCAGGGGCGGAGCGACAGCCGTCCCACTTGGACGCGAACGTCGAAGATGTCTGGCCACGGGGCACACATCCCTCAACACCCACGTCACGAACGTCGCCCGCGCCTTCGGCGCCTCGGCAAAGGTCATGGAGGTGAGGCTCGGCTGCAGGGACCCGACGCGAGCGCACGATCCGGACACCAACCCGTACCAGCGGGGCGACGGCGTCTTCGGCAACTATGCAGAGTCGGCGCGCGCCGTGGTGTACGACGGCACGTGCGTCACCGCGGTGCACCATGACAAGCTGCGCCCGCTGGCGAGCGGCAAGCGCCTAGCCACCGACTACGCCGAGGCGACGAAGCGGAAGGCCAAGGCAGCGGCGTGCGACGCCAAAAACTGCGACTTTATGACATGGGCGGCGAGCACGCGTGGCGGCATCGGGCACGAGGCGGCGACGTGGTTCAACACCAACTTCGACATCAAGGCCGCTAAGGCGTCCTCCGACAGCGAACGATGGCGGGTCAGTAGCGAGCGCAAACGCTTCCTGCAAGTGCACTCGGCCATCGTCGCGAGGCGCAACGCCGCCATCTTCGACTACAACGCGTGGCCGAAGATGGGCGGCGAGATGCCGCGGGCGCCTCGGGAGCAGTATGAATAGGGACGGGCGAGGGAGGAGGGGCGCTAACCACGGGCGACTACGAGTCGAAGGTTCGAGGACGACTACTCGCCGCCTGGGTCGCTTGGGGCGCGCGGCTCCGTCGAGGACCGGGCGCGCTCCTTACCCGGCGCGGCGTAGGTCTCACTCTGACGTATAGAGGGGAGGCACGGACAACAGCCCAATCCATCAATTCCACTCATCTTCCGGTGCTTGGCCCCGTGCAACGGCGGTCCGGCAGGCTGCCCCCAAGGCCCCCCGGGCCGCTGCGGGTTTGGGAGTTATGCTTAGGCACAGCTTCGGCGATGGCAGCCCCTCTCTGGGGTGTTGCATAGGCGGGGAGTCTCCCCCGCTGGTCTCCTCCTTCCCATTTTTTCTTTTCTTTTGAGAGCAGGACGCCGGGTTTGTCTTGTATGTGCATGTCGGGCCTGGGTGTGTGTGAGGGGCAGAGGGGCGGGAGCGTGCGGGGCAGAGGCCCAACGTCGGGCGGCTTGTCGGGGTCCGGAGCATTCGAGGGGGGAACGAGGAGGGGAGAATGGGCGGTCGGCGTCGGGGTAGCAGGCTGCAGGGCGTACGGGGTAGCCGTCACTTTCCTGCCTCACAAGGGCGGGGCTGTCCCGGAAAGTGAGAAACGCCGGGCAGCGTGGCGCACTACTGAACCCTCCCATACGTGCTTGTGCTTCCCCCTTCGCTGTCCCATCTCCTCATCTCTTTCCCGCCTGGGCGGGGCGGTGGGCGGGCGCGCGGTGCGGCGCGGCGTGTGCGTGTGTGCGACTGCAACGAAGGACCGCTCGCAGAGGACCATTGGGTTTGTACTATTAACAACGAAGGCGCTCTCAAAAAGACAACCTTCAGCCTCTCCTCGTTCGAGGTTTCGTTTTTCTGGAGAGCTCTGAGAGCTCTCGCCGCTCACCAGCCTCTGCCGCACGCCCTCGATGGAGACGCCCGCGAATGACCGGCCCCCGCGCACGGCTGTCGTCACGATCGTTGCCATCGTCCTCCTCGTTGCGTTGTTTGTGGCGCCTTTCCGAGTGATTGAGGCCGTTGCGCTGTTTGAGGAGAGGGAGAGGGAGAACGCGCCGAGCCTGACGACGACGACCCGTTCCTTTGTATTCACGACCGACCACCCGCACATCGACCACATCGCGCATTCGCATGGTGAGGAGCAGTGGCGCGCGGCGGTCAATCCGGAGAGCTATGATGAGTGGGACCCCGATACATACGATGCTTCGCCATGATAGCGGAGAGATATCTAGATAAGGCACCTTTCGCGGCTGTATCGGTGATGTCTGTGCAGCGTGCATGTTGTACGTACAGAAAGTAGTTCAACCAGAACAACTCTCACAGCCGACAGAGGCACGACGGCGTGGGGTGCGTGTCCCTGTCCGTGGACAACGGACCAGCAGCGTGCCACGCGCGCATATTTCGTTGGAGAGAGATCAGGGAGGAACGGGTTACTGATTTGCATGTGCTTCACCTTCAGCACTGAGGATCTTCTCGCTCATGCTTGGGCGTTTTGCCGATCATCGCCTAACCATAACGCTGCAAAGGTTAGCATAGACAGTAAGAAATGCCTCACACGTCAGGGGAGCTGAGGGGCTAGACAGAACTCAGAAGGGTTGAGGACCTCCTCTGCTTGATTGAGCTGGACCTCTGTTGAGGATCACACGTTCACACTTACGTTCACCACCGAACTGAGTGGCTCTGGCCATGCGTCTTGAGCGGCCTCACCACGAGTGATATGGGTCGCGACTGTCGTCTGCGGGTGGCTGGCCTCGCAGGCAGGGCGATGGGAGCGGATGGAACGGACCTTCACAAGGTACGGCGGGGGCGTGCCAGTACTCCACCATTTGGTTTGGCGTACCCTAGACGGTACCGAAGGAAGGAGCTGAATAAGCTCGGCTCAGTTTCTGAAAGGGGTTATCTCTGAGCGTACAGGTTCCGGTTGTTTGGGCAAACAATCTATACTAACCAGTGGTCTATTCTATACTATTCTATACTAATCCGTTACAGAGTCTCAGCGGGTCGTCGCCCAGCTTGATAGATAGATAGATAGATAGAAAGTCAGGCTCGAGCTCTCTCTTTTACGCGCACGGGGCCTTGTTTTTCTCTTTTTCGGCCCGCCATGGTGCCTTCTAAGTCATCAATCGATAATTTGTCTCTGGACGCGATCCCCCTCACAGAAAGGGCTCCTCCAGCGTTCCCGATATTCCCCGAGGCGCAGCAGGCGCTGTCTGCTCGCGGTCTGTGCGGGCCGCTCGTCCTCCTCGCCGTGTACATTGATAAAGATATCTCAAACTTCAAAGTGAGAACGGCGCGAAGGATCGAGTTGACTATCGTCACACAACGAACACGCGCGCGGCACCCCCACCGACTCTACCTCCGACCCCAGGGCCTAGGCGGCCCGCCATGAAATCTAGCCGTGTGTGCTGGCGTCCGGGTCCCAGCGGGTTTTCACGTAACAAGTACACACGCACGCGAGAGTGTCGCCTCCCCGGCGAGAGGCTACAACAACCTGGGTCCAGGACGGCTGCCGTGGCCTGTTCAGCTGCGGCGGAGACGGACTGGCGCAGCAGTGCTACTTTCCAGACACAAACAGCTCGCGCCGCGCCTACTGCGACTGCAACCGCGATGAGGGAGAGCGGCCGAGCACGTGCTGGCGCGAGCCAACCGCACACGACCGCTGCACGTCAAAGCTGCGCGGCACGCTCTGGGCTCAGAGACCCCGGGTGGGTCGAGGAGGTGGCAGGGCGTCTCCAAACCGTGCGGCTGTCTGCCTGGTCGGGCACGCCCGCACGTTTGCGAGCTGTGCGGTCCATCGCTCGATCAAGAGGCACTTGCTGGACGCGCTGGGACGCGGCGCGACAGACCTGTTTGCGTTACTAGTGCTCGAGGATGCTGGCACTAAGCTGCAGGACGTAAGGCAGGTCTTCAACGTGGCGCCGACGACGCCGCTGCTGGCCGCCGCACGCGCATTGTCCGTCCTGCTGCCGCGCGCGGTGGAGCTTTGGCACCACGGGCCGGTGCCGATTCGGAACTCAGGATGCAAGACCTTGGGCGCGCTACATGTGACGGCGATGGCAGCCACAGCTCTAGATGCGGGATGAGATGAGGGATGACGGAGCAGGACACTCCCTCCTTGACCCTGTCCCGTAGGCTGTTCGTGCCGTCGCGCAGTTCCAAAAGATGAGTCGGCGCGCAGTACCTCTGCCCCTCGGGCGGCTACACGCCTGCTGCATTCCCGCCACTCGCATCGGTTGCCTTCTATAATCACTCTGCCACCTGCCAAACGGTTGTTCGTGAGCTATCTGTGAGACGTCCATGTGGTGTGGCCTTAGGTGCATGGACCTGGTGGAAACGGCCGAGGCGGCGGACGGCGCGCGGTACGGAAGGGGCGATCGAATACCGGACCCAGCGTGTAGACAGAGCACCTTGACGCGATGCAATGAATAGGTACGGCTGGGTGATCCGAACCCGCCCCGACCTGATTTGGCTGCACAACCACCCGCCGTTATCGAGTCGGTCTCCCCACGACCCCAAGGCTCGTTTTTGCCTGGTATCGAGGGTCTACCCCGTGCCCTCCCATTACCGCTGTAGCGCGAAACTTAGGCGGCCCTCTTTCCATGGCGCAACGAGGACATGCACTTCGCGCTACCTCGCATGGTGGCTACCAGCGCCTTCCGCATGTACGAGAGGCGCCCTAGCTGCTCGCCTCGGGCCTCGCACTTTAGGGACCGTCCGGCACATGCTGTGCCTAGACCCGTAGGTATTTGCGCTGCCCTGAGGACGACCTTTTCGTGCGGGAGCAATCCAAAAATAGCGAGGGCCTCCTCCTCGGTAGCGTTCGCGATGCTCTCGAGAGGATGGGCAAAGGGGCGGCGGCCAGACCTCCCCTTCGTACTTCCGGGGCGCCCAAGAGGGTGCCCTGACGACTCTGGCTAGCCCGTGTTGTGGAGACGCTGCTCAATGCTCTTTGCCGTGAATAGATGATGGACTCGAACCAGATCCGCAACCAGCTCCGCAACCAGATCCGCGGCGCGCATCCCCGCCTTCCCCACAACGCCTTTGTGGTTGCGCGGTCCGGCATAGATGCTGAAGTGTGGGCCCTGCATCGGCCAGTGTCCCCGACATGGTTTCCGTGACAATTCCCTAGCACCCAACGTCACCCGACTGAACCGCGATAGGCCCGCCGCGCTCGAGTCGCTCGAGGGCGCTGCGCTACCCTGCACGCCCAAGGCGCCAGCCATGGGCAGAGGCGTGGCGCAGCCGGCTCGCCGCGATTGGCCGCCCGCCTCGCAATGCAATCCTGCGGTCGCCAACCCACCGTTGCCGAATGCGACCGCAAAGCTGGAGTTTGCGGCGGCGGCGCGGCGATGGGCCGAGCTCCTCGCGCCCGTCTCGGCCAGACGGTTGCGCGACTTTGGGGTGGACTGCTGAACATGTGAATCCCGAAAATGGGCGGTGCCAGGACACGCACACAGCCACAGTGTGTGTCCGTTTCATATTTGTTTATACTCACTCCTCTCCGACATGCAGCCACTCGCCTCTCACAGCGGCTACAGCTCCGGCGGCCCTGTTGCCGGCCGCCTCAGCCTCGCCCACCACAGCCGTGGCACCGCTGCGTCTCTGTGCAGCGGGTCGCCGCGCCGGCGCAGCGCCGCCAGCACCCGCCTCAGCAGCCCCACGCGCATCGCCCGCCTCGCCGCCTCCTCGTCGCCAGCCAGCGGAGAAGCATCGCTCGCGTGGATGAGGAGGTAGTCCGCGGCGTGCAGCGTCAGCCCAAGCTGCTCCACGTCGTCCGCACGCATGAGCGACCAGCTCAACCGCTGGCGGTTGCCCACCGCCTCTGCCCGTGGGTCGCAGCCGCGGTACCCAAGCTCGGCCATCAGGCTGTCGAAGCCTCGCCGCTGGATGCGTAGAGCCAAGCGCATGGCGGCGTCGGAGCCGAGGGCGAAGCCCGACGACGGTAGCGGCACGCAGATCTCACAGCTCGCAGCGCCACGAGAGAGAAGCGAGTCGGCGACGGCGAGCGAGAGCGCCGGAGCGACGCCAGAGAGGACGACACAGCGCGCGCCAAGGAGTGGGATACTGGCGTCGAGCACGGAAGCGGAGTGGAGGACGAGGAGGTAGAGAGGGAGCATGCAGACGGGGGCGGCGGCTTATCTCAGGCGGCCGACGGCCTGGCAGCATGAGAAGGAGATAGTAAAAAGAAACACGGTCCGGGCTGGTTGGGCTTCAGCAGGTCAATCGACCCACCCGGGGCCACTGTGCCATGGAGAGTGCGCCTCCCGATAGCTGCGCCGCGAAAGAGTCCAGCCCGGCAGAGGCGGCACGAGATGCCTCTCTGTCGCCTGCGCGTCCGTCCGCTGACGAGGTGACGGCGCCACCGCCAAGCGCGGCGGAGGTGGTGTTGAGGGCGCAGGACGCGCTGGAGGACATGATCGTCTACCGCTCGGCGGTCCCGCCCGCCAACCTCGGCCCTATCGGCGAGCTGGCCGGCACCGGGACGTCGAGGGGCAGTGGTGGTGCTGCGGCGCTCCCCGCTGCCGCACTACCTGCTGCCGCGCTAGCTGCAGAAAAGGAGGCGGGAGGTGACGCGATGGAGGTCGATCCTGCCGCGGCGCCCGCGTCTCGCGCCTCTCCGAGCCGCACGCCTCTTGCACCCAACCAGCCGATGGGCAGTGGCGGCGCCGTGGCGCTCCCCGCAGATGCTCTCCCCACCAGAGTCCGTCCTCCCGCGCCTCCTGCACTCCCTCTTGGCGCCACCCAGCCCGAACAGCGCGGCCGGACACCGCCGCTCCTCGACGCGCCGCATCTCGGGTCTCAGCGGCCAGACGAGCAGGTGGACGAGAGGGCGACGCGTCTGCAGCCCGACGGGGGCGGAGCGGGGCCGCCTCGCCAGCCAGAAGCTGAAGCGTCAGCAGGCGCTTCCGCAGGCGCTTCCGCAGGCGCTTTGGCAGACAGTTTTGCAGTGGCGTCGGCATCCTCCGCAGAGGCTCCTCCGGGGTCGAGCCTTCCGCGCGTGCGACTGACGCGCTCCAAGGCGGCGCGGCGCGAGCCGACCCTACGAGACATCGACGAGGCCTACCAGACGCTGCGGGCGGTGCGGCGGCTGTACGCCAATGGCGCCACCGCTCTCGACGAGATCACCCGAGATTACCCGATGATCCCGAGATAAGCCGAGATTACCCGAGATTAGGCGCCACCGCTCTCGACGAGCACTTCCTCTCGTGCTGCAGCGCCGCGCTCGGCATCCCCGTGCGTGGCGAGCACTTTCGCGCCACCTCGCAGGCCGCACGCCGCGCGAGCGCAAAGCTGCAGCAGAAGGTCGCTTTCACGGTCGAGGCGGTGGCGTGGGCGCTCGGGCCTCACAGCGCGGGGTACGCGGATGCGCTGTGCTACCGCGAGGAGGGCGGCGGCGGTGGCGGCGGCGAGGCAGGCGGTGGCCGCAGCGACGGTGGCGGGGGCGGTGGCGGCAGCGAGGGAGGGATAGACGGTGGCAAAGTCCGTGGTGCGGAAGGCGACGGCAACGACACTGGACCAGCGGCGACGGCCTCCTCCACCGATGCGGGCAGCGGCAGCGGCGCCTCCACCGAAGCTGTCAGCGGCGACGCGGCTGCGGACGAGGGCGGCAGTGACGGCCGCGAGTCAAGTGGCATTCGCAGTGGCGGAGCTGACGGCGGCGGTGGAGATGGCGGCGGCGATGGCTCGGTTGGAGGCGACGGCATCGGTGGCCACGACGACGTCGTGTGCAGAGCCAGCAGCGACGGGGAGAGCGCGGGCGGAGGAGGCGGCGGCGGTGGAGGTGAGGGTGGAGGAGGCGAGGGCGGCGAAGGCGGCGACGGCGGCGACGGCGGCGGCAACGACGGCCTTCCGCCGGGCTGGTGCAAGGTGATGGACTTTGGAAAGTGCCGCGGGTATCGGCGAGGCAGCGTCATCGTGCGCAGCCGACCGGAGGCGTGGCGGCTGCACGGCGCCACTTCCGGGGCCTGCGACGGCGACGCCGCCGCCTCCCCCTCCTCCGCCTCCGCCTCCTCTTCCTCCGGTCCACGGCTGAGCCTGGAGTGGGGCAGCCGCTTCCTCTCCTCGGCCGAGGCGGGAGGGCGCACCCTCGCGGACGACTCGCGGGCCGTGCTCGACGTCCTCTCAGGCCGCTGGACGCCTCCCGAGGAGAGGAGCCGCTCCCTCCTCCTCGCCCCGCCGCCGGGTCCGCTCGCCGCCGCCGCCGCCGAGGGTGGCGCGGTCCCGCCTCCGCGCGCCGCGCCGCTCGTCCCTCCTCTGCCGCTCCCCTCTCCGGAGGACGACGCAGGCGAGCCCGGCCTGCCGGCCGTCAAGGAGCGCGCCGTCGTCGACTCTGCGTTTGGCGTCCACGCCGACTGCCCGCCCCGCCGCAAGCGCCCGCCGATCGGCGAGATGGCGGCGCCCCCGCCCGTGCTCGGCTTCTCGCTCCGCACGACCCACATGCTGCTGGCCGAGGTGTACGCGCACGTGCAAGGCCGCCGCACGGCGTCCATCGACTGGGAGGAGGTCGCAACCCGGCTGGCGGCGCGCGCGGAGGTTCTTCCGGGCGCGGCCGGGCCAATGCCAGGCGCGGCGGATGCGCACAGGCTGTGGCGGGCGCTGGCGTACTACAGCCGGAGGCCGCGCGCGTCGGCGGGCAGCAAGGAGGGGGGCGAGGGCGGCGGGGAGGGGGAGGGCGGCGGGGAGGGCGGCGTCGTGCGTCCGCACACGAGGCCGCACTGCACGCGGCCCGCGATGCCGGACGCGCTGCACACGGTCGGCCTTTCCGACGCGTCCGATTTGGAGGGGGAGGATGATCCTCCTCCGCCGCACGCGCCATACCTTGCGCACCACCACGTCGGAAAGGCGCGATCCGGACTGCTATTACTGCTGCCACTGCCGCTCTTGCCTTCACTCTCCCCCCCCCCTCTCCCTCTCCCTCTCCCTCTTGTTCCTCCTCCCACTCGCCCTCTCCTTCCGTCGGAAAGGCGCGGCCGGCGAGGCTCGTCGGACGCTCCTACCCGCCCCAGGCCGCCGGCGGCTGGTCCTCGGTTGGGTGGCCGTCGGGCGAGGGGCGAGCGCCGCTGCAACTCGAGGGCGTCCTCGCGCCTCTCCGCCCGGCGCCACCGGCGCGGATCGACTACCCGCCCCGCGCATGGAGCGATGCCGACGACCGCAAGATGGTTGAGACTGTCGAGCGTCTCGGCCTCAGCGGGGGGACTCTTGCGAGCGCCGGCGGCGACGCGGCGGAGAGGCGGCTGGAGGCGGGGCGACATAGACATAGACAGACACACACACACACACACACACACACACACACACACACACACACACACACACACACACACACACACACACACACACGCACGCACGCACGCACGCACGCACGCACGCACGCACGCACGCACGCGCACGCACGCACGCACGCACGCACGCACGCACACACACACACACACACACACACACACACACACCGCCCAGCGGCGCCTCGTGTGTGTGCAGAGATGTACCTTCCTCACCTTACCTTGCCTAGGCGGAGAGGGCGCTCAAGCGCGCGTGGTCGCACATCCAGGCGCATCTCTCCCCCTCTCTCCCCCCCTCTCCCCCTCTCTCCCGGTCGCGCATCCAGGCGCTCAGGTAGACATCGGGCGGTCGGGCCACGCACACCTGCAGCTCACTCGGGGCGAGGGCCTTCAGCTCACGCCGCGGGGCTTGGCCCGCACACACGTGGCAAGGCGGCCGACGGGCGGCGACTGACACCCGCCCCGCACATCCAGGCGCGCATCCGCAAGCTGCAGGCGTCGGGGGCGATGGCCAAGCCGCCGCCGAGAGACGAGTCGACGCCGCCGCCGGCTCTGCCTTCCGACCCGACGATCCGCAGACAGGACCCAGCTAAGGCGTTGGCCAAGGAGCGGCCGGCGGCGGCGGCGGCGCCGAAGCTGCCTCCCAAGCCGGCGGGTGCGCCTGGCGCCAAGCGGCGCGTCGCCGAGGAGGAGTTGCCGTCGGAGCTGAGGGCGCACGCGCCTTCCCTCGCCGTCTACCGCGCGGCTGTCAAGCTCAAGAAGGACAAGGCGGAGGCCGAGGTGGCGCCGCTCGGGCGGACGAGTTTGTGCTCGAGTCGGCGAGCTCATGCCCCTGAGCGACTGGCTGTTGATTAGGTGGCCCTGCACGGTTGGACTCTGCGCTACATACTGCGCGGCGGCGTCTACCTGCCCGCGGCGCCGAGGGACGGGGCGCGGCGCGCCGCCGCCGCCGCCGCGGGTGATGCGGCGCGCGACTTGGCGGAGGGAGAGGTGCACGGGGGTGGCGACCTGTACTGCTTCCCTCCGGGCATCTCGACCAAGGGCAAGAGCGAGAAGGTTGTCCGCTCACGCGCCTCCTCTCTCCGAGAGTACCCGAGAGTACGCGAGAGTGCCCGGGAGTAGGTTGTCCGCTCGCTCGTCATGCTGCGGGAGGTGCTGCTGCAGCAGATTGACGGCGAGCGCACGGGCACCGTCTGGCAGGCCCCCAAGCGCGGCGAGCTGGTCGAGGTGCTCCCGCACCCTCCAGCACCGCTCGCCCACGCGCACCGGGCCTTGCACTGCCAATGCCGTGGGGCTCCTGTCGTCTAGACGTGGAGTCGCGAGGGACTAGCCTGCCCTTGCCCCGCCACCTCGTGTGTGTGTGGAGAAGTGCGCCTTACCTCACCTTAGGTCGAGGTGGAGGACTATTTGCCCGTGGCGCCGCCGCCGCCGCCCACCGACCCTCCGCCGGCGGGGGGCTCGCCCTTCGACGACCTTCTCGACCGGACGGCCGAGGGCGTCTTCACCTGGGCAGACGGCAACCGCTACCAGCGGCGGGTGGAGTGGCGGCTGGCCGAGGTGCGCCAGACGTGGGCCGACGGCAAGTTCCAGGCGTGCGTGTGCGACCACGACGGCTACCTCGACGAGAGCTTCGTCGAGGTGTACAGCCGCGCCGACGAGGGCAAGGAGTGGAGGCGGCGCGCGGCGGACGCGCCCGGCACTGTCCTCTCGCGGGGCGGCGGAGGGGGCGGGAGGGGCCGCGGCGGCGGGCGCGGCGGGCGCGGCAAGAAGCGGCGCAGGCAAGACAAGTGGTGACTGGTGCTGGGCTGGCGCATGGCGGGCTGCGTGAGGGGCCGATGGCCTGCGGACTGGCGCGTGGCGGTCTCTCGACCTGTCGGACACACTGGCTCGGAGCCGGCCAGAGATCCCTGGCAACGGCCATCGCGACGTCCGCTGAGTGGAAGGTGGAATGGAACCCCAAGCCCATGAACCATGTGTCTGTCTCTCCATGTTTCCGAGAGGTTTTCAGACAGGTAAGGTTTATCTCTGAGTGGCAGCATGGGAGTGGCCAAATTTTCTTTTACGATTTGCCTCCTCAACCCGTCGCTTGCTGGCCCCCCTGGCCCCCCGCTGTCCCACGAGCCGTTGCCGGCGCTTTCGCACGAACCTAGTGCTCAGTTCCGTCTTCGTTCCTCCCCCTCCCTCCAGTAGGTAGGCCGTCCCTCGCTGACGGGAAGAGGCTCGACGAGCCATCGGCGACATCCCTGCGAGCTCCTGGCCCCCCAAAAGGTCGCACCGGCCCGTGGCTCCGCCGTCGGCTCCGCCGCGAGCGGCGACGGTGAGGCCGCCGGGGCTCGCCTATACCGGCTAGTGTGGAGCTCTCAGTGTGGTCGCGTGTTTACTAGTGATGCTGCACTAGGCGGCCCGTTTTTTAGCAAAAAGCAGATACCTCATCGCGTGTGGTCGTCGAAAAACCGCATGTTCGCCCGTCTGGGACCTGTTCGTACGGCTCCTAAAACGGCTCCTTAACGACGACTACGCGGCCCGGCGGTCGATCTTCGCCTTCTCAGCGGTGGAGGGGATGTGGGCGGTACGTGCGGACCGCATGGTGCTGCGATGGCTTGACGAGTGCGACTCCCAGCGTCGACTTTGCGACCCCACGGAGCCTCTGCTGCTCTGGGGGGGGGGGGTCTGCAGACCACCCGGCAAGAACTCGCCCTTCCCCTTCGAAGTAGGGTACCACCCTACTATTTAGGGTGGGCTCCGGCGCCCGCCCGCATCGCCCCCAGATGGCAAGCGAAGCCTACCCACGTGGCGCGCGGGTGCCCTCGGCTTACGGACCGAGTCGCACGAGGCTCACATTAAGTGAAGAGGGCTGCCGTCGTAACCGAACGGGGTCAACTTTTGTTCACTCAGTATTGGTCCACCCTACAATCTAGGGGCGCGGATAGCACGCCCACGAGAGCTCTATGGCAGCCCGCCAGCGGCGCGGCGCGATGGCACTAGCCCCTGCGGCCGCTCCAGAGTCCGTTCCGGCGGCCGCTCGGGCCGGCCTCGACATGGGAAGGCCCCCGCACGGGGGGTCCCGGGGGGGGGGGCACCAAGCATGATCGTCCGGACGGGCCCCCCGTACACAGAAGCAGGGTACCGGAGGCATTCCCGAACTCAAAACAGGGTACCAAGGGCAGATATGAGCTCAGCTCCGTGAGATCTAGCAGCACATACCCTGGTGCCCAGAATAGTTCAGTCTGAAAAAAACGGTCCGACCGCGCGGAGCCGTCTGGCTGTCTGCAGAGCCCCCGCGGGCACCCCTAAGGCGAGGAAGAAGAAGGGGGGGGGGGGGGGAAGAAAAACAAAAAGAATAATAATTCTGGGAAAAAAACCCCCCCAATTTGGCCCGGGGGGGGCCCCCCTAGGGGGGGGGG